CCTTATCATAAATCCGAAATCTACAAATAGAAATATGACGATAAATCAATCTATATCTATAGATATTGCTTCTAGATCATATAAATCTTTCAGAGAAAAATAATTGATATCCCAATATATGCAAGAGATAAAAAATATTCATTTTTTTCAAATTCGCCTATATGCTAGAATCAATATGAAATCTCAAATAGAAATTTTATATTTTAATTTCAAATCAGAATTAATTAAATAGATTTATTTTTTTTTCTCAAATATAATAAAAAATTAAAGACGATTCATATCATATCTCTTTATTCCGACCAAAAAATTCAAGAAGAAAAGATCTCTTCGATCCCAGAATCTATTAATTCTGATTGAGATATAATATAGAATTAGAATTCGAAAAGATATATGAGAAGATCCTTCAAATATTCTATGATATCAAAATTTCTAAATTCAAATCCAAACCCAAAATCTCTATAAGAGATAATAAGATATCGAGATATCAAATGATGATAAAATTATCCAATATCTGAAATAAATACGCAACTAATTATATATATATATATGAAAATATATTGCTATGAAGAAATACTTTCATATTTTAATCATATCCATAATAATATCATTATATTCACCTATATTTCGTATTATTATGAAAATTTGTTAAAATATACTAAAATTCAGAATAAAAAACGCTTATTACTAGAGGAACAATAGGCTTCTAGCCGGGCAGATATTTCAAATTTAATAGATATTGATTTTTTTTTTTTTTAATGGGAGGCTGAAAATAAACATTCACAATTTTTTGAAATTCACGAGTAGATATGAAATATATTAAAACAATTATCTATAGATCAACAATAAGTTGAATGAAAGAAAGATATCAGATAGATAAAATTTAAATTATTAATATATCAATGATAAAATGCTTTCTTAATAACATTCATATAAATCCAATATCAAATCTTTCTTATTTAAATCCTCATCATTTCTTTCATCAATTAAGAAATATTTCCAAATTTTTCATTTCTCTTTTTCATAAGAAAATCCAACTGACTTATTCAAATTATATATATATATATATATATTTTCCGAATAGATTTATAAAATTCTGCTAAGCAATATTTTCCTTAATTTCATTTTAAATTATGATTATCTTGCGAATAAATTTCGTTTTATCTCGTCATCTCGAAAATTCTCCAATTGTTTGAAAAATATTTTAAAAATTCCATCTACTATTTATTTTATTAATTTTCAACGGTTTATATTATATCGCGAAGAGAATCTATGCCTATCGAAATTATGAAATCTATTCGATACCTTCTCATCTTCTATTCTTTTTTATATCTATCCCTACCTTATCCTATCTTCGCTCCTCTCGCACTATTATCCCTACCTCCTGCGGCGACATTTACGATATCTATATAATAATCGAAGAATTTCTCTCTCTTTTTTCTCCTCTCTCCCTCTCTCTCTTTTTCACTTTTCTTCTATCAATCTCCATCTTCTCTCTTCTCTCTTCTTTTATCTCTTCCTTATTCCTTTCTTCTCTCCATTCTCATCTTTCTTTTTTTCTTTTCTCTTCTCTCTCTTTTCTCTCTTTCTCATTTCTTCCTCTCTCCTCTCTCCCTCCCTCCCTCCACTCTCTCTCTCTCTCATTCTCTCTCTCCCTCTCTCCCTCTCTCTCTCTCTCTCCCTCTCTCCCTCTCTCTCTCTCGCTCTCCCTCTCCCTCTCCCTCTCCCTCTCCCCCTCTCTCTCTCTCTCTCCCCCCCTCTCTCTCTCTCTCTCTCTCTCTCTCTCCCTCTCCCCCTCTCTCTCTCTCTCTCTCTCCCCCTCTCTCTCTCTCTCTCTGTCTCTCTCTCTCTCTCTGTCTCTGTCTCTGTCTATCTCTATCTGTATCTCTATCTCTATCTCTATCTGTATCTCTATCTCTATCTCTATCTCCATCTCTATCTCTATCTCTCTATCTCTCTCTCTCTCTCTCTCTCGCTCCCTCCCGCTCTCTCTCTCTCTCTATCTCTCTCTCTCTTCCTCCTTCCCTCCTCTCTGATAGCAACAATACCAGCATCAACCGCACCACCACCCCCAAGAAGAAGAAAAATCCCGAGATCCACCCGCGGCCTAATGCGAATGGCACAACCCAAGCAGAAGTTAGCGCAAGAATGTCGAGCCCCAAATTTTCCGTTGGAGACGCCGAAACTGGTGCAGACCCGCAAGTCGACGGAAATCGTCGAATTTGCCGATGAATACTCATTTTTCCAGCCATCCTTGCATATTCTATACGGGAATAGAAAATCGAGCTCCAACTTTCCGTTGGAGACGTCGAAATTGAGGGAGACCTATAAATACACGAAAATTATTGAACTTATAAGTGAATGCTTCCTTGTCCAGCAATTATGAAATGAAGAATCTTGGATTCTCAATTAGGTCCGGCCATCGGGGCCGTTAACATGGATTGTTGATATATTGGTGCTGGCTACTATTGCTGTTTTTGACTCCATTATTGACGTAAATGCGCGAAGGCCGATATATCTATTTAATATATCGTATAAAAGCACGAAGACCAACGCATTCTTTATATAAATTTTGTTCAATATATACTCTATATTCGAAACGCCTGTCGTATAAGTGGGGTCGATAATTCGTGTATACATAAACAGGCGCGTACTAGTTTTGTTATACATATCTTCCACTCGAAAAAGTTTCGTATCGATAGTATTGGTATTTCGTGCGGGTACAATACAAGAGATTATTTCATATTTGTAATTTTTTAAAAAAGCACATATATATATATTTTTTTTTTCAAAATTCTATTTTTTGATTTTACTAAATAAATATAGAAAATGAATTCTCAATAAATTTTTCTATAGAATGATATCTTTTTTGTATTTCAATATCAACTCTATCAATCAAAATATATTCATATTTCTCAATTCGAAGTTTCTTTCAAATATTCTCAATTTTAGAATTTATCCTTTTCAATCTATAGATTCGATTCTAGAACCAACCTAAGATAGAAACTCTTAGCATCAAGTTCTATCCGTTTTCAATAAAAGGATCCATGGTTGGGAAGAAATTCTTGAAGAATAGATATAAATACTAAAATTAGTAGCTTGTAAGAACTTGCGAGAAGTAAGCATGGCCTCTAAAACCTGAGCCTAAATTATCGTCACCCTTAGAAGGCTAGCATTCTGGATTGGGAGTCGTAAATTTTTCTCGTGAATTCCCTGAGCTTGCTGCTTTGAGCTCAACTAACGGATGACTGAATGCTAAGTTGCGACCCAGAATCACTGAAGACATTCCACACACGTGTCGCAGGAACATATGAAAAAGAGCTTGAACACATGCTCCTGTGGCCTGCATCTGTGGAATGTCTTCCGTGACCGTGTGGACTGCCAAGGCCACGCAAACACTCAATGCCACATCAACGGAAGATCCGTGACTATTGACAGGTGCAGGTCGTTCGTCGTGCTGATAGCAAGTGAATGCTTCCCTCAATGATGGCCCCCACAACGTCGGGCAGCTTGGCCAATTTTCGCGAGTGGGCTAAGGGTCTTCGATGCGAGTGCTTTGCCTTTGGCAACATCTTCCGTCTTGCCAACGTTCAGAGAAGAAGCTGTTCTGTAGCCTCTGTGCAATGTTGGTGTGTTGTCGAGCCTCCCTCTTCTTTCCAGCTACGGGCATCTAACGTGCTCCCAGCTGGATGCGCCAGAATGCAGCATTAGCATCATGATCGGGTAGCTCCAGCAGCTCTTTGCAGTGCGACAGGAGACCGCCTAAATCCAGCGTTGGCATCATGATCGGTAGCTCCAACAGCATGAGGAACCAAAAAGGCTTCCCAGCCACGCCACGACCAAGCGAAGATAAGCCCGTAAACCCTACTATAAGTCCTAAGCCCGAAAGCAAGAATACAGGTGTCATGGACGACACCACGGCAAGGAGCTGTGGCAGCTGCATGCTTTTTGAGCTTGCTGCTTCATGGGGGAAACGGCAAAGAGGCGGCAGCACCGAAGGTCAGCAAGGCACCGTCCGCAAGCATGCAGTCTCTTCAAGGAAGGCCAAGGCCGAGGAACTATGCTGGAACTTCATTCAGGTCCGCTGAATCCAAACCGTAACAAGCCCATCATCGAGAATTGAAATTTGCGGGTGGTGTGCCCGCTGCGAATCTCAGAGCTCGAGACCTCACCTTGTTGACGAACGTACTACCCGCTACTGTCGAACTGTCAAAAGGAGCCATTTAAGGTGTTGGGTTTGGGGTTTAGGGCCTAGGGTTGGGGTTGTACCAAATACCCTTTTAGGACGTAGTTTGAGCACTTCGGGCCAGAAACACTGAGCCACGAAACACATGCAGTGATGCTCCGGGTTTCTTCGCTCTAAGCCTAAGCGGGGTTATATACGGGTTTGGTAACGTTCCCCTGGGCGCAAAATGATAATCCAATTGATCCAATTTGCCTTATGACCTTGACCGTTCGGACTTACAATATCGCATACTACGACCTTAAGCTCCATACCCCGAACCCCGAAAGCTGTGACCTCCAAACCAAAACCACGACATAAACAATCCTAACTAAGGACCCTGAAACCTTAGACCCTCGACGCAAAGCCGAAACTACTCAGGGTTCTTATCGCAGTTAGGCTTTAGAGCACAACCTCCGTTGTTTAGCGGTTAGCGTCAGCCACTGCAGCAAAACTGGAGCCTCCAGGCTGGTTCATGGCTTGTGCGATTCGGGGTTCTCCACGTCTGCATTCATCTGCATTCTATATAAGGTCTATTCCTTCTCCGGCTCACGGAGGTGCAAGATTTCCTGACAGTCCGAGGGCCGATAGCTGTCCAGGGCTACGTGTTCGGGGATTTCAGGGGTCTGTAGGTTCGGCATAATCGCGCAAGAACTGTGCGTCTTTCTGATCTTCAGAAAGCTTCCCTCGCGTCGGTCGCTTCTTCTGCATAGACCCGGCCTCAGCAGCATGTTGGGGCCATAGCACTCGAATCTTTAGCAGCCGATTCTTCATCCCCATGACTCCCCAGACCCTAAACCCTAAACCCTATGCACATGCGCGACTGCAGAATCGGCAATGCGCCCATTACTGCAGCTGGACCCCCAGCCTCGAACAAACTCAACTGGGCTTAGGGGTTTTATGGCTTTGGGGTTTTTGGGTTTGGGGGCTTAAGGTTTGGGGCTTGGGGTTTTGGAGTTTAGGGTTTTGGTTTAGGGTTGAGGAGTAGGGTTTGGTAGTTTATAGAAATTGTTAAGGGTTTGGGTGCCAACAAGTTTTAACCGGAACGTTTCTTTGTGCACACTCGGTTCTGGGAATTGGTGGGCCAGGAGCGGAGGCGGTTTGGGTGCCAATATGTTTTGACAGAAAGTTTTGACCGAACCGTTTTGAGCATGTTTTCCTTCAACAACTTGTTTCTGGAATGCTGTGCTGCGGCCGGCCGAAAGTTATCGACTGCTTTTACGGGCTGGCTGGGCTGGGCTGGGTTGTACTTTAAAACCTGATTTTGAATTTGGGGCTTTGCTGGGGGGCTGGGGTTTTGCTGGGGTTGGGGCTGGGGGCTGTTAAACGTTAGGGGGTAAACAATGACACGCAATTTCTATTCATTTCTTACGTGAGGGTTTAGGGTTTAGGGACTGGTATACCCCAACTATGAGTCGAGGAGGACAGCAAAGAGCAGGGCACAGGTGGTATAGGCTTCGGCTTGAGGGTTTTAGGGTGCGACCCAAAAGCCAGATCCTAAACTCAGAAACACCAAGCAGTACCTATACTAAATACCGACCTGTTTAAGGAACGATCTGTCTGAATAAGCATATATATATAATATATATATATATATATATATATTTGTATACATATAAATAAACATAGATGGATAGATAGACAGATAGATACACAGACAGATAGAGGCCCGCCCAGACGCTCAGTGGGCCACGGCGACCTTTCCGACCCGGGCCCGGGTGTTTCTTTTTTGCTCGCGCCCCACCCCGACGGTCACTCACTCACTGCGGGCCTGGGCCGCGATGCTTCCTGCACGTTTTTTTTTGGGGGGCTGCGGCCCTGCCGAACCCGGCGAGCCAATAACAAAAAATGTCTGGTGTACTACATCGGGTCAAAAAAGACCCGGCGGGGCCACCGCAAAAAAATAACACCACTTCTCCAACTATCCGTATCGACCATCACCTCAGCTCTAGAAACCTACGCAACTAATCAAAACTAGACTAAACTAAACCCCAAGCCCTTGAGGCCGTGTCAAATTTTTCAAGTATTCCATTCGGGTATACTTACTGCATTCATGTGCAGGTTCCCTCATGACTTGTCTTGGGAAGCGTTCAGCTTCATGATCCCGAAATTCCAAGTCCTAAACCCGAAAAATTCACTACACCAAACTCTAGCTCCCAGGGCCCAAACCCTAAACCCCCAGCCCTCAAGAATGAAACAAATAGAAATTGCGTGTCGTTGCCCAAGTTGAACCCCGTAGACCGCCAGTTTCAATCCCAGCCCCACACCAACCCGAAATTCCAAATCGCACCAAAAATCAAGCTTTCCGCCCAGCAGCCCAGGCCCCCCCACCAGCCAGCCCCAGCCAGCCCCAGCCCCCAGCAAAGCCCCAGGCCCCAGACCCCCAAATTCAAATCACGCTCCGCTCCAAAATACAAAATTCGGTCAAACCAGGCCCCAGTCCCAGCAAACCCAGCCCAGCAAGAGAGCCCCAAGCCCCCAGCCCCAAAAATCAAGTTGCGAAAGGCAACCTGCTCACAACTTTCGCTCAAAACGTTATTGGCACACAAACCCTTAGCAGTTTTTTTTGTAAACCTGTGATCCCTAAACTCCACGTCCTAAGCCCTAAACCCATCCTTGTAAGACTCTTTGACAATCACTAAACCGAGGACAAGGGCGGCGCGGTACACAGCTACAGATGCTGCTATCCATGGAACCTGCTCCGGCGTAGGGTTTAGGGTTTGGGTCTCAGGGTTTCTCCAAAGGGATCTACATTCCCCCAACACTGTGGTAAGACTCTGGGGTTCGTTCGCTCAGTGTTAAACGCATTGGTTACGGTATTGCTTTTTTGGCAGTCTCCTGATGATCTCCTGGTCTCCTGCAGATCGCGTGCTTCGTGATGTGCTTTCACTGTGTGGGGATCTATGCTGGAACAATGGTTTTTTAGAAGGGTTTGACACAGGGTCTTTTAAAGGTGTTGTTACAGTTCTATAATGGTCTTATAAGGGACTGTATGGGGATCTATAGTGGCACAATGGGTTTTTATAAATGAGGGCTTGACACAGGGTTCTATAACGGGGGTTGTTATAGGTATAAAATGGTTTTATAAGGGTTCTAACTGAAACTCAACGGGCCTCTGAATTTCGGGCTGAGCGGTGGTTCGGCATTTGGGCTTAGATGGATTCGGATCGCAGGTTAAGGCTTCAGGGTTTAAGGTTGACTGTTTCGGGTTTAGGGGCTTAGGGAGGTTCGACTGTCGAATTGGAAGCCGAGTGGGCGCTTCGGTGAAGGGTTGAGAGGGGGGGTGCTTGGAAGCCCTATGGAACCGTGATTCTGTATGAACCTGCAAGACCACCAAAAGTAGACCCCTGAAACCTAAACCGTAAACCCTGACGCCTCAAACCTCCCATAAAACCTGCAAAACACGACCCTAAATTCGACAAACACGCACTAAACGCTGAACCAACTGCTAAACCCCAGACCCTATGAACCCCAAACCCTAGAAGCCCCAAGCCCCAAACATGTCTACTATCACTGTTGTTATTACTGTTATTACTATTGTTGTTCTTACTATGATTATGGTTATTATTGTGACTATTTTTACTATTATTGTCATTATCACTACTGTTGCGATTGTTGCTGTTGAAACCTCGAAACTTCAGTCCACCGGCCTCGCATGCCGCTCGCAAGTCCTCCGTGGCCTCCACGTCCTGGAGGAAGCCTAAGGCCTGAAGAGCAAAGAGCTTCGTCGGGGTTTAGGGCTTAGGGTTTTAGGTTTTGGGGCGAATATTAACGGGTCTAAATCAAACTACCATAGCGAAACAGATCCCTACGAAGAGCTTCGCAGGGGTCTTTGGCGCAACTTTAGGAGTTTGAGGGTTTGGGGTTTAGAGTTGATGGTTTCGTTCGGCGTTCAAGGCCTTGTTGCACGGTTTGTTTTGTTGGGGATGTGTATTTTTTTTTGCAAGGTTTCATGGGGCTTTACAGGATGTAGTGGTGCAATACAGGCTTCACACTCGATCTATATAGGTTCGCAGAAGGTTTCCAAGGGTTCCATAAATGAGGAGTTGGTGGTTTACTGGTGGCGTAAGACTTAAGCCATCTATAACTGGGTTTATACGAGCTTTAAGCACGTTATGGGGTTCAGGCATTTGGGCAATTTACTATGGGGATACGGTTTTAGGGCTTGGGGTTCCGACTTCACATGTTATATGGGCTTTATATGGGCCCCAAGGCCTGTGGACGGGATTCACAAGGGCATTGGAAGGGATTTAGAACTGACTTTACATCGGCACAATGTGGTTTTTGCACGGGCTTCATAAGAGTTTTGGATTTCGTTTGGGGGTTTAGGGTTTGGGGGGTCAAGGTTCAGGGGGATAAACAAAAAACCTGTGAAGAGCTCGCCAGAAAGGGAGGGATTCGGATATCGGGTTTCGGACAGGGTTCCGGCTTTAGGATTTACGCAATCCGTCATGCAAACTGTCACGAAGCGAGACAGTTGGCAACTATACGGATTCCAATTGAGAGGTAAGTCGAGTCAACCATCCCTTGCCTGTTGGCGGGCACGACGATGAGCTAACCACAGCGCTACAATATTTGGCTCAACATATGGAGATCTTATAAGGTTTAGGGTAAGGTTTAGGGTTTAGAGGTTTAGGGAACAGAATGCATGGGAGGAAAGGGGAGCTGAGCGAACTTTCGCAAGGAGCGCCCTCGGCTTTAGGATTTCGGGTCAGGGTTGGTGCGTCGAATTCAACGATCTGCGCCAGATTTCTGCAAGACAAAGCTCCGATTCTATGGGCTGCCTGCCTACTTTTGAGGCAGTGGTCGTCATTGAAAGTTGCCTGAGCTCTGCGAGTGCAGTCGGTGCGCACCGGTGCCAGACGTCGCGCAGGACACCGACCAAAGGCTGAAATGCCCACGTGGCCTCTGTGCCATCCGGCATCAGGCCCTTGGTCACGACGGCATCTCAAGGACTTGCTACTGTTGGCTTTGCGTTTCCCTCATGAAGCCTGTTGGGCAAAGAAGCACGAAGAAGTCCTGCATTTCTCTTCGGATCAGTGACCACTCCATCGCTGGTTTATGGGCTTGTTACCGGTGGTGCATGCTGCCCGAAGACTTGAACTCTGCATCTGATTCGGAGGCAAACGAGGGGCAGGGACATGGCGACGACGACTTTGGCCAACAGAGTCATTTCCAACAGCCCCTTGCCACCGGTCAGCACCATTCCAACTGTCCCCGCCAGCTCGTCTACGTTGCCAGTCGTGGCCCTGGCCGAAAGGACTCGCTCCACCTGCAGGCTGGTCAACATGAACCTTGAAACTCAACCCACAAATCTAAACTTGGTGTCGATTTCAACAGTCCCCGAAACTACTTAGAACAAGGGCTCTATGTTAAACAACAAGGGAGTTTAAAAACCATCTCAACTCGATACCTAGAAAACGACAGATTCCTCAAATGGGTAGTTGTCAAAACTAGGGTCCCTTTTTGGGTACCCTAAATATTAGGTACCGTATTATAATAAGGACCCGGAAAGGGACCCTAATTTTGACAACCACTCAAATAGGTTTCGTTTCTGAGCCCGAGATAAGCCCTGGCCCCAAACTCAACCCTTGCGCCCTTGAGCCCGGCGTTGCTGGGGCTAGGCTCCAGGTTGAAAGCTTTAAGGGTGTACAGTAGGACCCAGAAAGCTGGAACATCATTATCCTTGTGCCCTTAATGTAAAGCATAGGGAATTCCAGCACTAACCGTCCTAAATCCATGTTCCGTCTTTCTGGGGTTCACTATAGGGCTTCAATCCAAACCTTCCAGAACTTACCTAAGCTCTTAGTCTTAGACTTCTTTCTCTAGTGAGCCGCATATTCAACTACACAAACTCTTAGAAGTCCAGTTAACCGTCGCATACACGACAGCTTACTTTCAACTAAAGTACACGACAGCAGGTGCCCGGGCCCCTGAACCCAAAACCTTAACACAAAACCTAAACCTTTAACTACCCTAAACCCTAAACCCTTAGGGTTTAACCCGTTAGGTTTAGGGGTCAAATCCTGAAAACCGCAAATCGGAAGCGCTCTAGACTCTAGCTGCAACCAGCACCGCCCAAATCACGAAGAAAGCTCGAACACCGAGATGGCCGCATGGCCTCCACTCGTCGCTTCGATTCGTCGAGCTCCTGCAGGTCTGGCTTTGACTGTGGTTTACTAGGCTGTTCAGTAACCCGCTGGGAAAAAGTATATACTTTTTTAGGCTTCTTTCTTTTTACAATAGGAACCCAGAAACCTTAAAGTAAAAAGTGTACCACTGAACAGCCTGGTTTATTCACGAGTTGGAAATTCCATCTCGCGATTGTCATGAGCGCAACCAAGTTTCGCGATTTGATCTCGAGCCCCGCAACACTACACATCAACATAGACTCTCTACATACAAGACCTCTAAACCCGAAACCCTAAATGCTAAACTCCTAAACCCTGAACCCGAATCCTTGTGCCTGCAAAGGTGTGGGTGGTTGCATGACCACTCAGGGGCTTTGGCTTTAGGGCAATACGGTACTTGCAAAAGTACAAGGAAAAGCTCTTTTTCAGGAATGTTGTGTGGAATTCGGTAAACAAGTCCTCGAACCTACAGGGGTCAATCTATATCCTGAACTCCTACTCAATTCAGGCCCCTGATACTTCTTGAACGGCGGTAGGATGTGGATCCCATTAAGAATATTCAAAACTGTGATTACAAGTGCCTGGAAAAGTAGTGGGGAAGCCTAGACTTTCAACCCCTAAGAAGAAAATACCCTGCAGAAGTCAAGCAAATTCGAAAAAAGACTCCCAGTAGGACGAGCACCCTGAAGGAAACCCTCGTTTGCTAGTTGTAGAAAGTACCTGTCCCGAATGGAGTCTGTCTCCAACGGTCGCCTGCTTTAAAGATCATGGGACTTAGTAACTCGGGTTATTATTCGGGTAACTATACTTATAATTACTTATAAGCCCAATTAAGGTACTTACAGTATACCCATACTTACAAAGTCCCATGATCCTCCAAGTAAGCCCTGTGCCTTTCTTTGGAAGGACTCGGGAATGACCCTGAACCCAAAATCAACTCCAAACCCTAAACACTTAGTAAGGGTTCTTGAAGGGCGCCTTAAAGGGATCTATAGGGTTCCTTAAAGGGATCCATGGGGTTTAGGGTTTAAGGTCTATAAACGCTGATTTAGGACATCTAGAATGACGCTCATGTACGAAACTGACTCCACCTGGCAGTTCACATGCCCTTCGCCGTCGATGCCAGGCGGAGCCCAGGACCTTACCGAAAAAATCAGGTTAGGGTTGGGGTTTACAGCATACGGTTTATAGGGTTAGGTTTTAGAGTTTAAGGTTCTGTTAAGGTTTCCGGTTTGCACTCCCGGCCGTGAAGTTAGAACGGCAAAACAATCTCGGGCAACAATGGCCACCCCATGTAATTTCAAGCGGCGTTTTAACCTGACTCGTCGTTTTGGGGAAAGTTGGCACCCAAACGAAGGAAGCACACCCTCATTATTTATGCAAACCTGTTGGATGCCTTTCAATTAACCCGTTCGAAGCCCATACAGGCCACCAAACAAAAACCACAATGACACCGCTATGAAACGGATACCCGCTCGGCCACACAGCCACCCAGGCATAGGCACCCAGACACCCAGTCAGCCAGCCACCCGCCCACATACTGTCAAGCCAGAAAGGGGGAGTCAGAACCCAGTCACCCAACCGTTTGGAATGTGGGGTATAAGGTTAAGTTTGCATTGTGTGTGTCTGTGTGTGCCCAAAATTCCCACAGTTGACCGTCACAGTCTCTTTCAGACAATATTATGTGGGGGAGATGGGGGGAGGTAGGGGTATACTCCTTGAGAAGCCTTCCGCCTTGAAAAATACCACAGTGAGATGCCACTCCTCCTCCGACGACGACAACTAGTATCTCTCAGAAGATGTACAACAAAGGTTCTCGGTTCAAAAACAGGGCGGTAGAGTTTAATTCGGGATCAGGGGTGATGCTGCAGTCTAGCGTCTAAGCCACGGATCCTAAAATGCATTCGCGCTGTGGAGTTTCGTTTTGGAGGGTATCTCGGGCCTATCGTGACCATGAGAGACCGGTAATTATACAAGTCAGGCAGCACGCGCAAGGAAACTCAAGCCAAGCCCATTGCCACCCAGTGCTGGACGCATCCTATCAACACATACCCACGGCGTTTGCGGCAAGCTCCCTATATCCCCTTCTACACACATCCTAAGCGCCCCACCACACCACGGGCCTGAACGCCCGTGGCAAACAGCCCTGAAATCCAACCGCCTCAAGATCCCCAAAGTGCCTGTGGGTATCTCAAAAGTCTGAGTCCCCAGCAGGATCAGGCCCTGCTTTGCGTGGCGCCCTGGTCTTCGGAGCCGTGAAGTATAGCATTTTGGATTGAGCGCGGGCCCCTCTTCTGTACATGCTGGTTCTGGGGTCGTTTCGTTGAAAACTGACGACTGGAGCTTTTGCTGGATGTGCCTTTTCAATAAATCCTGAGATCTTTTGGGCTTATATTGGGCATAGGGTTTAGAGCTTTAGATTTCGGGTTTAGGGCTTAGGGTTTCAGGCTTAGGGTTTAGTGCTTGAGGTTTAGGGTCTTGGGTTAAAGGGTTTCAATGTCTTCTCTACAGGTCAATATTGAACAACTGGGCCCCTCTCCATCTTGCTGACCTCTGTCGGTAGTTTTGGTGCATAGCCTCATTCGGATGGGGTTGTGTGCACGATTCGCCTTCAAGGCGATCGGTACTGTTTATTGACGGTACTTGGAGGATCATTGGACTTAGTGACTATGGTTATAAGTACCTTAATTGGGGATATAAGTAAATAGAAGTATAGTTACCCCGATAATAACCCTAGTTACTAAGTCCCATGATCCTTTAAGTCCCGGCAAGTCTCTCCAGTAATTGAGCAACCTGCAAGTCGATGCCGACCTATGTGCCGACGTCTGTGCACTGCGTGTCCTTGAAACAATGCTTTGCGCTTTTAGAGTGCTCGACAGCTGAAAGAAAGGCCTTTGACGTAGAAAGTTTGAGGTTCGGGGTTTAGGGTTTAGGGTGTTTCATGTACATGCACCAAAGGCGCCCCCCCATAATGCTGCCTTCTTGCAGAGTCCGGGAGCGTAAATCCTAATCGCTAGTCTTTGAATGAACTAGACAGCAGCAATCCGAAAGCCATAAAAACCCTCCGCCCTACACACCCTAAAACCTAAATTGGGGTTTGGGGTTCACCCAAAGGGTCCATGTGCCCAAATAGTATCTACTTTTGGTCCCATATACATATATATATATATATATATATATATATGTATGTATATGTATATATATATATATATATATATATCGGGATTACTTTAAGGCTACGGTACATACTATTTGGGTACAGGGACTCTTGGGGTTTAGGGGGTGTCTTAAGAGTTCGGGTTGCAGAGCCCGGACCCCCCCGGCCCTCAAGCCGACAAAGCAACAGACCAGCCGTCACGGCTAGGGCTTACTTAAGCCCAAGGGTCCAAAGGACCCAATAATTAGGTACTCGGTTTTAGGATGGCAGTTATGTAGGTTAGGATTTTGGAGAGTATATGATGATTAGGTACTTGGACCCTTGGGGTAGTGTAATCCCACGTCTACCCTCAACCCTAAAACTCCGATAGCCACACCCTGAGCCATAGTTTTGTTTCCATATCACCCCGAAGCCCTAAACTCCAAACCCAGAAGGTTTGTAGAATAAGAGCCTTATATTTAGAATAGAGTCTTTAGAAGGGCTCCTTTTTCCCAAACACTGCCATACACTGTTGTACTGGAGCTCCCAGCCCAAGTTCCCAAGAAACTGGTGCTCCAGCTCCACAGGGATGTGCTCAGCCACCTACAGACAGGATCAGGGCGGGTTAAGTTTTGAGAAAAAGCTCTAAACCCTGAACCCTAAATCCCTAGCCCAAACCCTCAACCCTAAACCTAAACCCTCAAGAAATGAACAAACAGAAATTGCTTGTCTCTGTTTCAATTCGTAAAAAGAAAAGTTTCGCTCACAACTCTCTTTCAAGACTTATTGGCACTCAAATCCTTGACAACTTGTATAAATCCTGAAGCCCTCAAACCCCAAACCCCAAACTCTAAACCCTAGACCCCAAAAAGCCCTCCCTAAAGCCCTAAACCCATAACCCTGCATCCTAAACTCTGGGGCCCTGCGGGAGTGTGTAAGGCTGTCTGGCTTTGGGCTAGGTGATCGGGAGACTTCGTTTGCTTGGGGCTTCGGGCCTTAAGGAGGCACAGAGACTCCAAAACCCCTTATGAAGGAACAAGCTGTAATTCAAACTAAAATAGGAACCCTTATAAGCTTTGAGGTCTAGTCCTTAGTCAAGGGGTTTTGGGCCTAAAAGGGTGTTAGCAAGTACTGGCAAGAGCATGTCAGAGCTGGAGGGTTACAACCTTCAGGGTTTGGGGCTTAAAGTTTCTGGTCTAGGTTGGCCCCTTAAAGCCTCTGAAAAATATTCGTAAATAGGGTCCTACGAAGCCCAATAAGGGAAAATGTAAAATGTCCCAAAGGCCTACCTAGTGGTTTTGAGGGTTTGTGATTTAGGGTAAAAGTTGGATAGGAGCATCACTGTCCGGGTTTCCTACGTACTTCGAAACCCTCTGAAACAACCTGGGTCACACCTCGCTTACCAGTCCCCAAAGGGCCAAAGTGGTCCTTGGTACCCAAACGTTTCACAAAGCAAGCAAAATTATCTCTAAACTTACCCTAAACCCTAGGCTAATAGGGCGCCCTCTTCCACAGAGCCGATGTCTTAGAACCGAGCCCGGAACCTGCTGTGACCAGACCTGCTCTGCACAGACAGAGTACATACCGTAAACTCTAGTAGGGTCCCTAATATAATTTAAGGAATATCCTTACTTAAGGAATATACCTGAAACTATAGTAGGGTCCCTAATATGATTTAAGGAATACTCCTCAATTCAGCTCGTCTGAGCATAAATGACCCAGAGACTCGGCCTCCTCACTTTTGGGCTCACTCGCGCCACCACTGCCACCACCACACAATTTCGCCGCCGTCCTGAACTGTCTTCTTCCAACACCACTTCCAGACAGCAATTCCTGGGATTCCGTTGTGGTGCCTTCGGTGGTTCTCGCATTCATTGGGCCCGGTCCAGCGGCACCTCTCGGATTATTCACACGAATGATCTGCGGAGAATCGCATCGCTTCCGCTTGGTCATCTTCCTAGCAGTTCCTGCGGAAATCTTGTGTCGAGACCCTGCGTGGTATCACACAGCTTAAAAAAGTTGCTTTACGATGGTATATAGAGGACAGCCACACGGTTGATGATATAAATCCTGCATGACCTTGAGGACCCGAAACTATGGAAATTATTGTAAATCCCCGGTTATGGATAATGCAGGATTTATATCATCAACCGTAGACCTAGTAAACAGATAACAACCTCAATCTACATTCGAAGTCCTGAACCCCCCCAGACACCCCAAACTAATCTTCAAGCCCGTAACCCTAAACCCCAAAGCCGAATCGCACGGCCAACCCTTCTTGAAGGGGCAGGGGACTTAGTAAGTCGTTTATAAGAAGGGCTATAATTGGGGTAACTCCATTTAGGGTACTTATAACTCTACTTCTAACCTACTTACTAAGTCCTCTGCCCCTCCAAGCAAACCCCGAACCCCTATAACCCCAAAGAAGCCCAAACGTTGAACCACAGAGGCCCCCTAAACCCTAAACCCTAATCCCTCAACCCTAAACCCTAATCCCTAAACCCTATACCCCTATACCCCAAATAACCCCAAAATACGCCCAAAAGTCGCAAAACAAAACGAGGCCTCAAGGCAAAGAACCCAGTCGAAGGCTTCGGGATGCCATTCCTGAGCACTCGGAGGGCTCAGGGTCGGTCTAGGGCGTAAGGCTCCTGGGATCTATAGGGGCTTCCTTAAAGGGATCTATAGGCTTTAGGAAGTTTAGATTTAAGGGTTTAGGGTTAAGGGTTTAGGGTTAAGGGTTTAGGGGTTTAGGAGTTTAGGGTTTAGGGGTTTAGGGTTTAGGGCTTTAGGGGTTTAGGGTCTAGGGTTTAGGGTTAAGGGATAATAGGGCGTAGGGCTCCTGGGATCTATAGGGGTTCCTTAAAGGGATCTATAGGCTTTAGGGTTTAGGGTCCACCATGTGGCTTAGAAACTACCCCAAGGCTCCAGGGTAGGGCGCAAGGAAGCTAAGGGTTAAGGGATAATACTTGGAGGATCATGGGACTTAGTACATATGGTTATAAGTGCCTTAATTGGGGCCAAGTCCATGTTCCTTCAAGTAAGGGCCCTGAATGATTAGAACGGGCTTGTGGGATGTTGTGGGTGACATATATGGAAGTTTGCGAAAAATAGGGGGCCCTCATTTTGTATCCTAAATAGTAGGATCCTTATTATAAGGCCCCCAAATAAGGTACCCCTAAGTACCGGAAACTCCCATATTGCTGGGGGGGCGAAAGTGTGCTGCAAGCGCAGGCTCCTACACAAGGGATCTATGGCTTGCTCTGAACCTTACACAAGGCTTCATGGTTTCCCAGACCCCCGGGAGACCTTACACCCTAAGCACGAAGCCTTAACCTCTTAGCCCTAAACTTTACGTATGTCAAGACTCGGAGCTCCTTCAGCTATAGCAGGGCTACGGCAGGTTGCAACAACTACGGCCAAGAAGCATCGAGCTACAGCCCCAAGGGCTTAGGTTGGGTTCCAAGACTTTGCAGTAAGCCGCGACGCACCAAACTTGATTACCTCTACCTTGAAGCCCAAATCGACACCTGACCGCTAGCCTAAGCGTCCCATTTCTGCAACCTGCACGACCCAAACCCTCAATACTCGAATGCCCAGTTTACAGGTAAGGCCCCAACTCCCCAAACCCTATAAACCTTTAGCCCTATACACCTGAAGCTACGAAAGAATCAGGGGCCGAGACGATGTGTACCCTTTCTGCAAGATCGACCTCAGTGGCCGTAACCCGACGAAGGCTTGGTGGAATACAGGGGCCTTAATAATTGGAATAGGCTATGGGTGCAGTATAGCATGGCTATCCTGTATGAAGGGATCCCAAAGGAAGAGTGTTGGTATTCGTTCAAGCTTCCCTACTGGTCGGGTATCATGGGGAACTAAAGGTTAACCTTTTGTGTTATATAGGGATTATATAGGGACTATACTACCCAAAAAAGGTTAAATGTTACCTACTCGACGACTAGGCTTCTATCGTAACCCGCAACGTGGGATCCAGTCTCGGGTTGTGGTTTCGATACCCTGACGGAGGCCAATTCCTAACCCTAAAGACTCTAAACCCTTTAAGAACCCAAACACCTAAACCCCTGAACTCCAGCTATTATGCTGCATTCTCACGGTTCTAGGGCTCCACCGCGCCATGGGATACCAATCTTCCTATTTCCTGGCTCCTCGTGCAAAGGATTAGCCCTAGAGCTGTACCCAGAGTAACCAAGGGCTTGATGTATATGCATGTATTGATTTACGCGCATACACACACGCACATATTTGCTCGAAGATATATGGGTTACTCTAGACAAATCGGAAAATCCTACGTTTTTGTTTCTTCTAGGAGCCTTTGGCTCATTGGATATGCTCCTAAACTCCTAGACCCCTAAACCCCTAATCCTTAAACTTTAAACCCCTGAACCCCTAAACCCCTAAATCCAAAACCCCTAATCCCTAAACCCCTAATCCCTAACCTCTAAACCCCTAAACCCCTGAACCCCTAGACGCCTACACCCCTATTTGGAGGATCATGGGACTTAGTAACTATGGTTGTAAGTCCCTTAATTGGGGTTCTAAGTAACAAAAAGTATAGTTACCTTAGTAATAACACTAGTTACTAAGTCCCATATGATCCTTTAAGTAAAGCCCCTGCCTCGGTGACGCGGCCGTCGGTGATGTCTGTGACGCCGGGGACGCCGTCGAAGGCGAAGGCGGTGACCCAGCCCGTGTCGTTCAGCCAACTGGAGAAGCTTACAGTACTTGGAGGGGCAGGGGACTTAGTAAGTAGGTAAAATCAAAAGTAGGGCTATAATTGGGCTAACTCCATTTAGGGTACTTATATAACTCTACTTATAACCCTACTTACTAAGTCCCCTGCCCCTCCAAGTAAGGGGTCCTTTAAGGGGATCTACAATGTTACAAAGGGGTCCTGTAAAGGGATAGGATGTAGGGCTTCCGGTTAGAGGGGTTTAGGGTTTATGGTTTCTTTAAAAGGATCTATAAGGGTCCTATAGAGGGATGGGATGTAGGGCAACGGTTTTAGGTTTATGGTTCGTTCTTTTAAAGGGATCTAGAAGGGGTGCTGTAAAGGGATCTATAGGATTTAGGGTATAGGGAGAGGCTTAAACCGGCTCTGGGTTGAAGGTTTGAGGTTCAGAGTATAGCGGCGTCCTACGTAGTCAGGGAATGCATCCGTGACCCTAAACCCCCAAAGGGTCCTATGTACTGTTATGGGGAATACTTCCCATAATCATAATAGTATTTCCTAATATACGTCATATTTCAGGCCTTGTGTGGAATGCACATATCACATATCTATCTGCTTAGCTGTTTCTGGCCAACAGTGTGACAGAACTTGCAACAATAACGGACCTATGTACTCAAGCCCCAGCTCATGCTCTTGGGACTACAGGATACCGGAACCGTAAGCGAGTATAAGACAAGCGCTTGAATAGCCTTAAATGTCCGTAAAAGAACGAAACGATCGATCGTGCCAAGCCCCTCCACGGCGGCCCAACCCTTAACGCGGAAGCCGAAACTACCGAATCCCCAAAAGGACATCACCAACCGAGCCCGCTTCCTAGCCTCCAGACAACACCCAACAGTCTACATGCCCCCCAAAACCTTCCACCCTGAACCCTAAACCCCAACACCGAAAAGCCGAAACAGCAATCCCTTACCTTACTAATAACAACCATAGTGACTAAGTCCCATGATCAAATTAAGTACCCAAAACCCCAAACCCTATAAAGCCCTATAGATCCCTTTTAAAGGAAGGACCCCTATAAAGCCCTATAGATCCCTTTAAAGGACCCCTTTACGTAGACCCCCCCCCGAAGCACCTGGAATACTGACCGTCGAGGGCTCCGAAGTCTGCCAAGCTCGAACCTTCTGGCAGCAAACGGAGCCTCAGCAATGCTCGGCTTTGGGGGTTTAGGGTTCAGGGGTTTAAGGTTTAGAAGTTTTTTTTTTCAAGTGCAATGGCTTCTTTCTGTGCAGGTTTAGAAGTTTAGGGTTTAGGATTTATAATTTAGGGTCTAGGAGATTAAGGTTTAGGGTTTAGTCTGGTTTGGCGGTTTAGGGTGAAACTCGGGCATGCTGTAAGGAGCTGTTTAAGGCGTGAGGGCTTCAGCGCTGCATTAGGTTTGTTGGCTTCGTTTGAGGCCTCTCTGGTTTTTCAACCCTGGTACTTCAACAGCTCTATTTGGGGTTCAGGGTTTACTCATACGGTATGGTCTTTGAGCCCAGACGTCTGCAAATATGGGCCCTTGAGCCTTGTAGGATAAGCTTCTACTAGGTTCCTGAGTATCTAGCCCCTGTAAAATAAGGGCACCATCTTTCCTACTCGGGTTTTTGATAATTGCTCTTACTTTGATCTCCCAGGCACTACCGTATAGCGCATTAAGGATAAGTCCAACCCAAAGCTGTGAAGCACAACAGCCCTTCATCTATAAAGCCTCGAAGTGCAGAATACGTGGTTCTTACCAGCTAGAATAGGACTTTGGCTTAAAACAAAGTGTATTCTAGAGGGGCTACAAGGGCATATACTGCTTCTTATGCTGTTACTCAGGATTTCGAGATCTTCTGCACTAGAACTGTCACAAGGCCGGACGGACCCCCATGCCCGATACTGGAGCTCCCTGGCAGTCTGCGAAGAAGTCCCTTGTCCAAGATGGCGGACCTTTGGGATCAAGAGGGGTCCACAGTTTAGGGATTGAAGGGTTTGGGGTTTAACCCTAAACCCTAAACCCTAAACCCCTGGGGTTTAACCCTAAACCCTAAACTCGAAACCCTACATCCTAAAGCCTGAATCCTGAACCCTAAACCTGCCTCTTGAGGAGTACTTTGCTTGTCTGGTTCAAGTTTTGCGCGGTCGTAAGTTATTCAAGGAGTCGCTTTGCTTTCTGAGGCTTGGGGGTTTACAGGTTGGTTCAGTTCTGCCTTTATACCTTTGGTCATGTTCTTGCGTCTTGTTGGGAGGTGGTGCGATCTGGGAGCTTTAGGGTCTGAAAAAACCGGGTTGTAGGATAGAGAGGGCCGGCCAGTACAGTCATAAAACCCTGAACCACCTGAAGCATCCATGCAAGCACAACCAAATCGAGCCACAGAAAAAGCCCTAAGGCCTGAAGGAACCTCCTGCAGCGGGCTCCACACCAAAGAGCGAGTGGCGATATTTCCCTTCAGTCCCTACCAGGAACCCTCAAGGGCCCTGTAACGGAGCCCTGAAGGTCCTTCATATAGTGGGTCTGTGGGGCATAATAGAGGGTAGTTGGGGGCAACTATAGTATAACATATCCCCCAACATTTTCCGAACTGGGACCCCCCCAAAACCCTAAAACCCTAAACGCTAAACTCTGAAGCCCCCATACTAGGGTTAACTCTGAAGAGGGACCCATGGATCTAAAGTCCTGAAGATGGGAGAGCCCAGGGGTTCGCTTAGCATAGAGTCCGTAATCAATGATTAGAACAAGGCTCCTTTTAGGGCTTAGGGTTCAGGGGTCTTAGTCAAGAATAGTTACACTGGCATTGATTGATGGTAATGATAGTAGTAAGAATCATGTGGTAATGATTGTAATCGTAGTGGTAATAAGAACCAGGTTCCTCTTAGGGGTTTTCTGAAGGGGTTCTGGCTCCCAACACGTGGGTTTAGGGTGCATTTTCGATACGGGACTGGGTATGCAGAGTCGGCTGTTGGTGTATGTCTTCTCGAACGCTATGGTGGAATGCACCAATCACCTGCCCCCACCCAGCCTACCCTTCAAAAAACAAAAACCCTAAGACAAATAGCTGTACACAAAAACAAACAAATATGTATATGTAAATGTGTGCAGTTATAAACATACATTGAAGGGTCAAGAGACTTCTTACTACGCTGCGTATAGTGCTACAAGTAAGGCAACGTTGCTTCAAGCAGACCGAACCCTACTGCAACCTACTTGGAGGGGCAGGGGACTCAGCACGTAGGTTATACGTAGAGTTATAAGTACCCCAATTATAACCCTACATATAACCTACTTACTAAGACCCCCTGCACCTCCAAGTAGTGAACCTTAAACACCAATCCCTAATCCCTAAACCGCAAAGCCTGAACCCTGGAAGCCCTAAACCCCAAACCGCAATGTGTAATGTAGGGTCTAGACAATTGCAAACACGATTTTGGTGGCTCCATATAATAATTGTACTCTACTATACCCCAAAACCGCATTCTAAAATATTAAGGCCCCTACATTATGGTACCCGTATAGATCCCTTGGACCGTTGTTCGTAATACTAAGGCCCCTAGATTAACCCACCAACAAAAAAACTCATGAGCCCATGCGTTGGGGAACCGACTCTGGGAAGAGTGTGCGATAGATCACCGTGCTGTTCATGAACATCCCATGCCTCTGGTGCTGATTAGGGTTTAGGGTTTAGGAGTTAGGGTTTAGTTCTTTAGGGTCTAGGTCTTTAGGGTTTAGGGTTTTGGGATCATGGGTTTGAGGTTTTATGCGGGGTCTTGTAAGATGTAGTGATGAGGGCTCGTAGTGTTCTTAGACCGTTTGCAGGTTGAGGTGTTTAGAGCATAGAGCTTGGAGCTTGAACCTTTATGGGGGGTTTTGGGCTTGAGGGTTTAAGTTGGGTCTGAGCAGCCGCTTAATTATCATGTTTTTGAACCGAACTATCTGCGAATGAAGCCAAGCAGAAATTTCGGGAACTGGTGATGGCAAGTCTATGTTACAGTTTTCAGCAGAGTGTCTTGTCTTCGAATTTTCGTGCTTCTATTTCTAAGCGTGGAAGGCGGTTCTTCTATGAAGTGATCCAATCGAGCGGGCTTTGGGCAAAAGAGCTCAAGACGGATGCCCCAGCGGTATCCTTTTGTCGTTAAGGGCCCTAAACCCTAAACCCTGTAATCCCCGAAAGCCAACAGCCTAAACTTGGGTCATCGAGTTGAAATTCGAGGGCTCATCGTTCGGCTTCTGTAAGATAGCCCAGAGAGACCTTGTTGGGCTTGTAGGGGTTTACAAGGCATTCTCGGGAATCATAATAGCAAGTTCTAACGTGGAAACCCTACATTCTACCGTGTAGGTAAACACGTAGGACCCTTACCTTAAACCCTAAACCCCACAAGCCGGAATGGCCGTCAAGACTTTCTGCTCCCTCTCAGCTGCTCTCCTTTAAAGGTCCAGTGCTAGGGTACTCGTAAGCCCATGAATACTAAAAGGGTCATCGGACATAGTAACTTAACTACGGTTATTATTAGGCTAACTGTACTTCTAACTACGTATAAGCCCAATCAATTACAGTAAATACCATACTTACTGAGCCCCATGATCCTCCAAGTAGGGTACTCGCCCCATGAATAGCCAAATAAATTACAAAACTGCCAGATCAATAACGCGCTAGTTATGGAGCATCCAGAATCTAAGAAGTGATTCCACTGACATGTCGCCCTTTCTCAGGTTGTAAAGAGGAGACGCTACTTTGGTAGAAGTTCATAATCAACATAATCATGACGTTGCAGCCAAAACACTACGATGTGAATCTCAGTCTTCATGCCCTCCGCCCTACACCTATTCTGTGGTCTTCCCTACAGTTGAACTTGGTTGTCAAAGTTGATTCTTCCCTCCAACTACATGCACATCCATCAAACAGAACCTCACTGTAAAGCATGCGACACTTGACAAGTGCAATGCTGTTATATCCGAGGAACCCAAAACTGTTACATAGAATGGCAAATCATTGGGGCCATAGATAATCTAGGGGAGTAAGCCCACGTCTCCACTTAGCCCTTTGAAGAACTGGGCTTCGGGCTCCTGGTGCCCCCAGAAGTGATCCGAACCTGGATGTGCTTATGTCAAAAGAAGCGGTTAGGGCCTTCAGGTAGCGGGGGATCCAAAAACCTCTGTTTTTAGGGGTTCGCCCCAGAATGAAGGTGCCAAAACCTAAGATTTTGTAAGGTTTGGGGATACAGGTAGAAGAGTTTAGTCTTCAAGGGTTTCAGCTTTATCGGTTTCGGGGCCTGAGGTCCTAAGGTCTGGAGTCGAGGGTCTCGGGGTTGAACAGCTTAGGGTTTAAACGGAACCCCCTTCCTAGATCCCAACTACCCTCTAATAGACCCTGAATACCCACTATGAAGGACCATCGGGGCTCAATTAAAAGGCCCTACTTGGGGGCCTGATTGCCCGCTACTAAGGACAATAAGGGCTCTATTTAGGCTGGTTCAAGGCACGCTCAATATTTATGGAGGCCTTACTCGGGTCGGACGCCCCACACCTGAAGCCTACGCCCTAATTAAACCCCTAAGCCCTAAAAACCTTCAACCCTAACCCCTAAGACCCTAAACCCTAAAACCCTAAACGCTAACACCCTACAGCCCTTAAAGCCCAGTATGTCGGCCGAGCAGCGCGGCAGCACTTCTGGGAGGTTTATCAGGAGCTCGGCGAAGAGCGCCTCCCAGGCTTAGTTGTGCAATGTAGGAAGCTTAAGAACTAGAATAGGGTTTAGGGTTTAGGGCGTAGGGTTTAAGGATTAGGATTTAGGGTTCAAGGTCTAGGATTTAGGGTTTAAGGTTGGGGAGTAAGGTTTAGCGAGTAAGGTTTAGGGCATTTAGGGATTAATTTCAAGGTATAATATGAACACAGGAGCCTTAATAGTTTGAATACAGATCCTTTAACGGGGTCTATAGGGGTTACTCTAACGGATCTAAGGGTACTGTAGAATAGGGCCTTAAATAGGGGCTGTTTACACTAGACATAAGGGGCCCGCTAAATCACATGCAACATTTTTGTTAAGCCGCTTGAATATGCTGCTTGTGGAAGTTGTGGGCTTCTATAGGGTTCATGCCGCGCAAAGCTAGGACGTTTTTCAAGCTTCACTCGTTGAACATGCGGGTGTATGCTGGTGTGCTTGCTTCAGAAACTAATGGTTGCGATTGAGCATTTACACTCGCAAACTCATCCAAACTGCCAAATCAAATTCAAGTACTTATCGGGGTCTCCTTAGCCCGCGGATCTGCAGACATTTCCCTCTTCAGGATACTAGTGGGTTAGAATAAGGTCTTGGGTATAGTATGGCTTACTGTTCGGGACTTTAAACTACAGACTGAGGAAAGCATTCACTGAATATTCGGTGCATCAGCTGCATGCTGGCCTTGCACAAGGGTCCTGCTTTACTGCGACTCTGTGACGACCCATCACAATCTCAAGCGCCACCGACTCCTCACTCGCCAGAACTTACAAACTGCGCACTCGCGAACGTCCCCTGCCGCCCGGCAGGCTCTGTCTCGGAGCTTCTTGTCGACGTCGCGGACACTCGTCGAAGGCCGTGAAGCACTCCTCGCGAAGCCGTTTCAGCGGCTGGCAAGCCGCCAGCTGCTTGAATGTGGCCACGACTCGCTGAGCGTCTTGACGTCTTGGTCCCCGACATGCTGCAGGGGCAATACTTCCAAGTCCCACTGCAGACAAGCTTCAAGATCGCACCAATTCGCACTGCACACAAAGCTACCTGAAAATCGCACTGCACACAAGCTTCAAGATCGCACCAATTCGCACTGCACACGAAGCTACTTCAAAGTCGCACTGCTCACAAGCTTCAAGATCGCACCAATTCAAACTGCACACGAAGCTACTTCAAAGTCGCACTGCGCACGAGCTTCAAGATCGCACCAGTTCGCATTGCTTACAAAGCTACTTCGAAGTCGCACTGCTCACAAGCTTTAAGATCGCACTAATTCGCACTGCGCACAAAGCTACTTCGAAGTCGCACTGCTCACAAGCTTCAAGATCGCACCAATTCGCACTGCACACAAAGCATTTTCAAAGTCGCACTGCGCACAGCTGACCCAAAAGTAGCACCAAGACACACACATTGCACACAAGCTGTTTCATAGTCGCACCAAGTCGCAAAACAAGCCGCATAAGCTGGCTCAACAAAACATTCAAGGAAGTCACGGTCCGGGCAAAAGCACACAGGCCGAATCGCTCAAACAGGTCGCACTCCAAACGTTGCCGCATTGCACACAAGCTTCTTGTCTCGCTTGACCTGACCCGTGCAACAATGCATTCAACAAGGCTACTTTTAGATATCTCCTGCAACTGACAGCTTGCAATGCTTGCAATCAACAGATCCTCTTCTGAGGCTTCTTCGTTCGCATCCAAACACTTGCTACATGTAGTCCAGCTTGACTCGCTTATTTCACGGGTGACCTCCACCTGCTGCCTAGTCGGCAATGGCCTCTGCCAAGCCTTTTTGTGTCTTGGAGCCAGCCGATTTTTTAGCTTTGGCATTGGAGTAGGCCCACCTATTTACATAATGCTCGACAAATTTGTTGCCTTTGCAGGATTTTACAGGCAGCGCTGCACAAGCTATCAGCACTCAGCTGGTCAAAACTTATGTAAGACTCATAGCTGGATGGATTGGCAAGGCAGACCTCTTGTCAATGTTGAGGACAACAGGGCTCGTCCGCCTCGCGAGCTGGCTCTCTCGGTGGCTTTCTTCTGTCGTGGCTGCTTTGAGCGTGGCCGCGTGTAGCCAGTCTCTAAGCGTCTACGGCCGCGCTTGCCAAAGTTCTCCGGCCCAAAGACTGCTTTAGCTTGTTTTACTCTTCGAGGATCCTTTGCTTCGAGAAAAGCGGGGCTTCACAAAGGTCATGATTTTCCTTTCCCACATGCCCGATAATTATATGGCCGCAGGTAGCCAAGAGCTTGAACCATGCCAGCTGGCTGCCTGACTTGAAAATCGGGACCAGAGTCTGGCAAAGCTGCAAATGCATCCCATGTTTCCTCGATGGACCTCTTGTAGTCTTCCACATTGACCTCCAAGTACTTGAAGCAACTATACTACAAGAACATGATTGTAAATGGTTTGTGCCTTCTTTCGCGTGGTAGGCCATGAGCTCCGGGCTGGCCCACACACCGAACTCTTTGGAAGTGGCCCTGGACTCCGCTCTCAAACCCCCAAGTTCGGGTGGTGAAATTAGCAGGCCCTTCACGATTCTGTGCATTGCACCAACCTTGGCTGCGAAAAAAACAAACACCAAGATGTAAGAGGTTCCGACTACAATGCTTGCAACTCATGCGCACCCAGAGACCTGCTTGTTGATAGTGCAAAAATAACTTCAACAGTAAAAAATGACAATAACATCAATACTAACAATATTGCCTATACACTAGGGTCATTAAGGTGTAGGGTTCAGGGTTTAGGCTTTAGAGGTTTGGCGGTGTAGGGCCTACTCTGCGAAAAAATCAATCCCCACTTCGGGGTAACTGGGAGCCCCCGGAACAAATCAAACTTAATCTCGGAACCCTAAACCCCCAAATCCAGAACCCTAAACCTACACCCATAAATCCCAAAACCCTCAATCCGCAACCCTCGCACTCTGAACCCTAAACCGAATGAAAGCACAGATCGGGCAAGACGAGTTGTGCCGGCCTCCGCCTGTTGGAGAACCTTCAACAATGCCTGCAGAGTTCACAGAATTACTAGGATTTGACAGGGTTCCTTAAAGGGCTTCTTAAGGGATCTTTAACCTTAAGGGCTCTACAAGGAATCTATAAGGGTTTGGGGCTTAAGAATGATTCAGGGTTTAAGGCTTACCTGGGGATCCCATGCCTGCAGAGGTTTAGAGTTTATGGTTGACAGGTTCCCGAATGACTAGAACGGCGTGTCGGTTTGGGGAGTACAACAATGTAGACGAACAAGGGGGCTGTAATCATTAGAATACGGAGCGGCTTGGGTGGGGATTAAGAAGGACAAATCATGCCGACCCATACCAAATTGCCATCAAGTGCAACATGCTTCAGAGCTCCTTGGGTTTGAAGATAGGCTCCTGGCAGTCGAAAGCCTTCAAAACTGAGTTGTCAGGGCCAGGGTGGGTTCAAGGTCTAGAGTAGAAGCACAAAAACTCGAAACCCAATAGCCTCAGTCTTTAAGAGTAATGCATAGGGAATCCCAGCACTATTTGGCCCTGATCGGGTTTCCAACTTTGTGCGGTTTACTGTAGGCGTTTGAGGACCTCGAATGGTAAACTCGCTGCCTCTGAAGTGACAATGCTCAAAACCCGGCCCTAAACCCTAAACCTAAGCAATAAACTCTGCACCCTTCCACCCAAACTCAAACGCATGTCGCATACTGCTTGGGGCGCACCGCAGACCAATTCTATGTGGACGCTTCCAGCGCCATTGCATCAAGTCACCGAGCCCGACAACAAGATCGACCTGGAACTCTGACAAACCAAGCCCTCTGAACAACCATTAAAGCCGGTTTAGGGTTTAGGGTTAAAGCATGCAGATTCGAGTGAAGATCTCATAACACCGAAACGCCGAAGCACTCAAATCACGCCAAAATGCCTGGAACCTTGGCAGCACTGAGGCTTATAGCTCTGAAACCCCTAAGCCATGAACCCCAAACAAATGGCCACAACCCCAGGCCCTAAACCATATAATCTCAACCCTGAAATCCCAACCCCCCGCAACCCAAGGCTTCATGATCCCAAACTTCGAAGCCCTGACCCTGGGCAGCTATTAAGCAGTTCATATCTGGGTGTTTGTCAGAATTAGGGTCCCTTTTTGGGTCCTTAGCATAGTACGGCACCTATTATGTAGGGTACCCAAAAAGGGACCCCAATATGGACAGCCACCCATATAAGGGTGTACATGGGGTGGAGCGGCTCAGGGGACTCATAACGTCAATATAGCCCTTACTCAGTTGCCTGGTCCCCCGAGTAACGTAGAGGCGTTGACCATTGGAACAAAGGTCTTGGGACATTTTCTAATACCCTTAGGAATCACGAGGAATTGCGCCGGTAACTACTCAAACTTCTTTGTTAACCTTACTGCCCCGACACCTCAGGCTTGGTCATAATCTTGCCTCATAGTCCTTATTATAGCTATAGTATAACATGCCCCCAGACCCTTCTACGACCTTGTTTTTGCACCTTGCAGAGATACCGTAATGGCACCCGTAAGGAAGCCCAAAACCTTACTCCAATTACTAAGGCCCCCACACTAAATCCCTATTATAGTCGCCCTTATAGTAGCCTTATAGAGCCCTCGAAAGGAACCTTACCCTCTTGAGGCCTGCAAGTGTTTTGCTGGATTGTTGGTGTTGGAATACTGGCCAAGATCGAACATCCACCACAGAGTCGACACCTGCATCGTGGGTTGAAGGTCTGTTTAAGGGCTGCTTTCGTGCCTCTGAGCGCTCCTCGCGGATGCCAGAGGCGTTTAGGGGTTTAGGGGTAAGGCTCTGGGGGTTTAGGGGGTAGGGCTTAGGGTTTACGGTGTAGGGGTTTCGGGGTGGAGCGTTCAGAGGTTGAAGGGGTTTGATCCCTGCATGCCGCGACTTAGACAATGACTGGGTCTAGGGTATAGGGCACCATGTGGCGATTTCCACACATCGGGGCGCCTTATGTACTGTTCTTCTGTTCTTATATTATTTCCACAAGGGATCCTACTCATAAGAGTCTATACTGTGTAGGCGCATGGCCCCAACTAACCGGCCGGGACTTTACTCAGCCCTGCCTCCTTCAGCATCCACACCATCAGAATCCCCAAACTTGCCCTGTGACTCCCAAACCATAGAGTTTGGGTTCAGAGGTTTCGAGTTTGGGGTAACTTTGCCCGAATACCTGCACTCCGCCCCTTCTTCTTCTTGCAAGGAATGAGATCTGGGCGGTTGCCTCCGAAAGCACAGCTGTTCGGCATGCCAGGCGTTCCTTAACTCCCCACCACAGCATGAACCTGCAAACTGAAGAGTGTGTGATTGTTTAGGGTTTAGGATTTAGGGTTTAGGATTTAGGGTTTAGGATTTAGGGTTTAGGATTTAGGGTTTAGGATATAGGGTTTAGGGTTTAGGATTTGGGGTTTAGGGTTGCATTTCTGCATCGCTAGTGCGGCTATCACAAGCACCAGAAATATGGAGGCAGGTGGCTGATGAAAGTCGGTACTACCTGGTCCTACCTTCAGGCGGTGTATACACACATACACGAGGCTTGCGCACATATGTACGCGAGAGGCTTTGTCGACAATCCTGCAGGTCCTTGCACCTCGCAATCCTCTGCGTCCTTGCACCTCTCAACGTGTATGTACTTGCAACACATGCGTCCAAGCATCCTGTCTTGTTCATTAGTTCACAATGATCACAAGCCCCGGCATCCATACCTATAATGTGTGGAATGCAGCCGGAAACGTAGGAACTGACATTGGTAGCTTATGAAGCATGCACACCGAATTGAGGGAAATGGTCGAGTTATATGTCATCATGCAGATACACGCGGGTGTGTTAACCACGAGACTGTCTATGCAGCATCGCAGGATCGTTGATTGAACAGTGTATCAAACACTGGCCGTAAACCCTAAACTTGATTCCCGGCATCCGAACATCTGCTAACTGCTAAGCCTGAGCTTATTCAGGACAGTTTCAGTGGCTTCTGAAGCAGCCTCCAGAAGCATCAGAGAGGAGCCTTCATACAATTTAGGGTTTAGCTCGGGGTAGCACAAATGTGAACAACAGCTAGACACCCCAAGCCGGAACTACTTCCTTCAGACGGTCTCACCCGAAACTGTCCCTGCAGAATCTGTATGGTTGGCAATGTCACGGCACTGCCAAGTGCCCATGCGGGATGTTGGAAGTCACCCGCAGCACATACGAGATTCGGTTCTGCACTCAGCGCTTCTGGGGCATATGATATTAAGTTCGCAGGGTCAAGGGCGTCTCAAACAGTAACAGGACCTGATATACGCCTTGAGCAGTCAAATCCATATTGAAGACTCTAGCGAAGATCCCTAACTTCACGGACCCGGAGGGTTCAGGATTGCAGGAATAGGTTCAGTCAGGACCTCGGGTTTCGGATGTCTTGCATAGAGCCGAGTAGTTGAAGCGTCGAGTGGCTTCGTGGGCATTTACTTCGCTTGCGGGCCGTCCGTCTCCAAACAAAGAAGTTCTCAGAGAGTTGCTACGCTGTTGTTGTAAATTCTGTCTGTTCCCCATGACCTGCTTGCAAATGTACGCAGTAACGACTTACACTTTTAGCTGTCTGTGTGTCGTAGGGGCTGCTCAACACGAATCAGAGCCTTCAGGAGTAGCCAGGGTGTTGTGAATTAGACACTAAACTCCCTAAGTCCTCAACCCCAGGTAATTATGCGTTCTGCGCTTCAGGCTACAGCTTTGAGTTGAGGGGCCAAGGTGGTTGCTGCACGTTGGTTAACCTAAATAGCAAATTTTTTTGATGAACTAGGGAATTCTACACAGTTATGTTCCACAGGGTCTAGGTAGCGCCTTGGGTTTAGGGTGAGGTGACTGCGGCAGCATCCCCCAACGGAAATGCCTTGGTGTTATCGTGCCGTGCTCTGCACGTGCACGGGCAAAATCTGAATTCGAGCTGCTGCAGCTCCAGTGCACGCAGGTTTGAGGTTCGCAAGTCTTCAGCATCCGACTATCATCCGGGCAAGAATACGATCCGGCCACGGCTAGCCTATGGCTTCATGATGAAAAGACATATATGGAATATATGGTCCCAGACAGCGGTTTATTTGTGGGCCCTGTTCGCGTCGTTATTAGGAAACCGTGTCGTTTCGACTCTGTGAGTGGTGTTGACAGTTGACAATAGCCAGACAAGGCGGCTGCACAATAAACACCCACTCCCCGAACACCTGAAGCACCCCAACGAACCACAAACCCTAAACCCTCAACCTACTACTGGGCCGCCCTACAACCCAAACACGAACATCCAGGAGCCCTGAAGCATATAAACTGTGACGTCAAGGAAGACAGAACCAAAATCCTCAATCCTCTCGAGCAATGCTTGCCCGGTCGCAACGTCAGAATTCGACGACCTGGGCATGTTCAGTGTCCACCGTCCGTGCCAAGTGAACCCACCTAATTGTAATCCGAAACCCTAAACCCTAAACCCCATCCTTTGCAATCCGCTGCGGATAACAACTGACGGGCTGAGTATCCTAGACCTAACAAGGTTAGCCTAGTCAGCTATGGTAGGATTCTATAAGACCCAGAAAATCAGAGGTTACCCACTCAGCCACTAAGGGTAGGACTTAGGGTAGTACCCTTATAGAAGCCCTATAGAAACACTCATATATCCCTTTAAGGACCCCTAAACCTCGCCTACTAAGAAAAAGAGCCCCGGAGAATTCGTTGAATCCAACCACCCCTGCTCTTACGGTTGATGATATCAATCCTGCACTACTCATAATAAGGAATATACCATAGTTCACACATAATTTGGGGTCCTTAAGGTAATGCAGGATTTGTATCATCAACCGTAGGATCCCCAAGGGTTCAGTGAGCAGCTTGTAACTGCTTGGAGGGGCAGGGGACTTAGTAAGGGTTCTTAAAGGGCTCCTTTTAGGGATCTATAGGCTTCCTTAAAGGGATCTATGGGGTTTAGGGTTTAGGGTCTACTTGGAGGGGCAGGGGACTTAGTAAGTAGGTTATAAGTAGGGTGATAATTGGGATAACTCCATTTAGGGTACTTATAACTCTACTTACAAACTACTTACTAAGTCCCCTCCCCCTCCAAGCGAGGTCATACACACCTTCCAAAACCCCTTACATAGTTAATATCCCTTAAACTATACCATAATCGGAGTCCTTGTGTAACTTAAGCTATATTGCCTTCTGTAAGGAGTTTGGGAGCCTCTTCGAAGGTGTCCGAATTCGGAACAAACTGAACAAGTAGCGAGAGACGCATAGAACTTATGACCCTATTCAGCCCAGCTTGTGAAGCTTCCTATAAGCCTTCATGTCGTAGGTACGCAAGGTCTATGGAGAACAAGGAAAGACTCCTATATTCAGCCCTTACGAATGGTACTACCACTAGTACGAACTCTATAATCAGAGCAGAATCATCACCATCCGCATCACCATCATCGTCTTCAACATCAACATCACAACACTGGCCGCATGTACGGGTAAACTTGGCCACAGCTTGCTGTTGGAGTTCAAGCTTCTCACAGCTTTTCGGGCTTGTGTTTAACTTACCCTAAACCCTAAGCACTAAGCCCTCAACGCCCCCATACCCCCATGAAGGAGCCCTAAAACTTACCCTCTCTTCAAAGGAGCCCCAACCCAGCCCTGGCCCTAACCCTAAACCGTCCTTTTGCTGAAACTGAGACATATGGGAGTTTCCGAAAATCGGGGACCCTAGCATAGAACCCTAAATAGTAGGACGCTTCTTATGAGGACCCCAAAATAAGGTGCCCCTAATATTAGGGGCACCTCATTTTGGGGTCCTTATAATAAGCGTCCTACTATTTAGGGTTCTATGTTAGGGTCCCGAAACTCCCGTATTCAAGCCAGAGAAGGATCCTGGTCCTGGACCCTTTGGCGTTCAGGACCCACCTGAACCCTTAATAACACACCTTTTTTTTAGGACATAAATGAGTTTTTGTATCTTCTTGAGCTCCTTTTCTGCACAGCACAAAGTCTGCGAGAGGCGCGAACGCCAGGACGGCAATATGAGGGTTTAGGGTTTAGGGCTTAAGCAAATCATAACAAGGAACCCTTTTGTCGAGTCTTAGGTATACAGCACGTGTATCAAAGGCACCTCCCGGAAATCTGGAGAGCCCTAGGCCTCCTTCCCTACGTACGCAAAACCCTAAACCCTAATCCCTGAACCCTAAAACCCCTAAACCCTAAACCACCAAACCCGTAAACCCTACAGAAGGGTCGATCCTCCAGACCCGAATCCCAAAGTACCCTTATAGATCCCTTATAGTAACCCCCCTATAGACCCCTTTAAAGGAACCCTAAGTCGTAGAACCCAGCCCTAGCTTTAGCTTTCGGCCCAGCAGCGGAGCACTCGGAGTTGCGGAAAGAGTCGGCGCGCGGCCGCATGGGTGGGTTGGCCGTGACATCGAAGCCACCTTGTCCCAAAGCGTCCCATGCACTGTAATTGGGGATACTTCCCCAAATTTTACTAGTAATTCCTGACATAGAAACCCTACATTCTACTATATAGGTACTTTGGAACCTTTGGGTGTAAGATCCGCACGGTTTAGGGTTGAGAGGTCTAGGTTTAAGGCTTATGGGTAAGATCTGCACTTGTAGGGTTTAGGGATGGGTTTAGGGTGTAGTAAGATCTGCATTTGTTCGATTCAGAATCTAAGGCTAAAGGATCTACGTTCCGGCTTTAGGGCTGAGCCACCGAAGGATTTGGGGATTTCAGGTTCGGGCCTTTGCGGTGAAACCCTAAACCTTAAACGCAGCTCAACTACTGCTCCCGGGATTTAAGGAGCCCCTAAACCCTAAACCGCCTAGGGTTCAAGCTTCGGGTTTAGGGTCGGTGGGTCGGGTACCTGGAGAGGGGAGGCCCAGTCTGTATTAGGGCTCTTTGTATGCACCCTAATCTTTTGGGGTTACGGGCGCCGAGTTTCTTAGTTAGCTTCCTACAGTACGGGTTTCGGTTTCAGGCTTTGGGGTTTAGACGTTTTCTCTGCGTCAACATTACTTACTTCCCCTAAGCCACAGAAATAAAAGGTTAAGGGTTCTGTAAGGGATCCTCAAAGGGTTTTACAAGGGTTTTACAGGGGGTTGGGGGTCTTCTAGGTTCCTGAGTAGCCCCTCGATAACTTGGGTACCCTTTTTTTCCTACTATTCGGTTTTAATGAGGAGGCCCAAAATAGAAAGTGCAAAAGGGTACGACTCAGGGACCGAGTGCATGTGCTTGCTTTGTGTCTTGTGCTGATTTATACTGTTCTGTGGCTACGGCAAAGGTTAGCAACAGCAACAACAACGTGATGGCAGTATAACAATGATGCTACTGCTGATGCGGATGTTGATGATGACGCTGTTGGTGATGATGACCTGGTGTGTTGAATGAAGCCCACGAAGTTCAAGGATTAGGTGATTAGGGGTCTGTTGTGAAAGGTCTACAGTCGCGGGCAAGACTCAGACCATCAAACTTGCACATCTTGTGCCCTAAGCCCAACCGCAACACCGTTAATCTAGATGCACAGCCACAAGCCTCGAAGCAGCAACTTAGCATAAACACCACCCCACCGGGCCCCCAGACCGAGCAACCTAAATGCTACGAGCTCCTGAACCACCCGACCTGTTCGTAAACCCTAAATCATTCTAGATCGCCCAACCTGAAGCCTGAAACGCAATACGGCTCTTGGGGTCTCTTTCCATTTACTTCTTGTTGGGTTGTGTTTTCCATATGGTGATCTGCGAAAACATACATGAACAAAAAGAAACATACGTATATATATATATATATGTATATATATATATATATACATATGTATATATGTATGCGCATGCTTCCTTCTTGCCTTCTAAGGCGAGTAGAGAAACCCTTTACGCAGGGGCCCCAAGCAGGGCATAAGCATAAGCATTTTACAAGGATGTCCCTACCTTCATGGGCTTCGTCATAAGGGGAACTATCTGGGATAGCCCAATCCTAGTTTTTGCTTATGTGCTTTCTCGAGGCCTTCTTAAGCCCTGAGCCGGTGTTGTGGTGTAGGGTCTTTCTTTGGAGGATGCAACGATGTCCAGTCGTTTCTGAGTCCTACCTATACCCTAGCCCTCAAACGAAGCGATACAGGTGCCGTATAAATAAACTCGAATAGAGTTTCGGGCTGGCTTGGCATATAAAGCAAAACACGACTCTAGGGGGATGGTAGTGGGCCACGGGGTTCACTTCTTGCCCTGCAAAGTGCATCACCACTGGATCTCCAAGCAGAGTCCCCTAAACCCTAAACCCCTGCAATCAGAATTCAGGCTGGGAGTCAGCGGTTTGGGACGCGGGATCAGCTGTGCAAACTGGCTTTGGGGCAAGCCCTTCCTTGAAGTAAGGCTTGTACACCTGAAGTGTGACGCCCTTCAATAACCTCCATGCTAGGGTCCACGGTGTCCCTGATCTTAAACCCTAAATCCCATAGTAACATCCTTAAAGTAAACCCCACGTATCATTAAGCCCTTACGGCACCCAACCTAAACCCTAAGCCCCAAACCCTAAACCCTGAACTCCAAATCCTAAAACCTAGACCCTTGAAGCACCCAACCCGAAATGACTGGCCTGGCCCTTCCAACGTCGATGCGCGGAGCTTTGGAATGACATCGGCTGCCTCCTCCTGTCAAGAAGGCTATAGCGTTTTGGGACCGGCTTAGGTTCAGGAAGAAAGGGCAGCTTTGGACATCTTGAGGGTCCTTTTGAGAGTCCCTTGAGGGGTGTTGTGCGGATTTCGGGTTCATGCTGTACTTTGTGCATCCTAGCCTTTCAGCCCTACGTGCTTTATCAAGATGTGTACACGATATCGCATGGTTGTGTATACAATTGCATCGTTGGTAATTCATGACGTGTGCTCTGTATCCCGCAACAAAATCAACATGAGAAAGGACATGCTCATGCTTTATGTTGTGAACCGAAGCACCATACATGATTGCTGGCTTACCTGCGAGGATTAGTCCTAGCGAACATCCTAATATGTCTTAATGCTGTCGTCGGAAGCACGTGGGTTCTGCTAGGCTGCAGTTTTGCCTGCATCCGGATCCCTGAATCCTACACCCAGCCTCAACCCTACGTTTGCCAAGGCCTGAAACACTAAATCCGAAGCCTCGAAACCCTCAGGCCAAATACTTTTACGGTTAGACCAAGGCCTCATGTAAGCCCAAATCTTGTCCTGTGGCCACAAACCGGACTCGCCTATAACCCCCAAGTCTGTAAAGCTCCGCTACGACTAACCCCACCGCCCAGAGACATGCTAACCCCCCGCGAAGCCCAATACTTTAGAAGCTGCCCCCACCCTGTAATTCTGGTACAATAGGAATATAATAGAGCCCTAATATAATCTTTATAGTCACTATTACAGGGTGGCGGCAGCTTCTAACCAATACTTCTCAAATCAACAATACTGAAAGCCACAGGATGCCAAAGGAAAAAACACAGGAATATCCTTAATGAATCACATGATTCGAGGTAGCTTGCCTCATTAGTTAAACTCCGGGCAGCTCTATAAACCTTTGCAGCAAACACATATGGGTGGTTGTCAAAGTTATGGTCCCTTTTGGGGTCGCTAATATAGTACGGCACCTAATATTTAGGGTACCCAACAAGGGACCCTAGTTTTGACAGCCGTCGGGAAACCAATAAGACCCTTGTAGAAAACCCGACTGCAAGACCCACAGGTCCAAACTCCGCAGGCCCTAACACTCCCTAAACCCGAGAATCGCCATCCCCAAAACACGTGCTTCCGCGTCATCCTCCACCCAGTCCACGCTGATTTCTGCAGAAAGCGCCGGCAAGCCTTCAGCAGGGCCACAAGCGATTGGGTTCGGTGTTTGGGCTTGAGAGTTTAAGGCCAGAGGTTCGAGGATTCAGTCTCGGGGCTTCGGAGTTTGGGGTTTGGGGTTTACGGGTTCAGGGTTTGTGATTTTCTGCCTTGCCCAAGCCCCAAAACGTGTGCCTGGATGCCCCAACTACACTGTCTTATATCACAAAAAACCGAACATTAACTTGGGGGTCCTGCTGGGTTGAAACACCTCGGCCGGTCCAAAACTCTGTTCGGGAGGGTGTGAACTTTATAGTCTGTCTCTTCGCGTCCCCTTTAGGGGTCCCCAGCCTTCCAAAATCCCATATACCTCAAATCATATGTCAGGGATCTCTACGCGGCCCGCAGTTGACCTACCCAAATGAGCCCTTATGCCCCTGTCCAAATCACATCCTTTTCTTCAACTTCCGACTCGTTGGGGGTGGGTGGGTGGGTGGGGGGAGGGATGATAGCAAACATATTTACTGACTGCTTCTACCTTAGCCAAGTCAATGCTGCTTGCTTTGCACTCAAGCGCTTTCACGTGCTTGTTGTCTAGGAGTGCGGGCTGCTGACAAGCAAGTTCACGTACCTGCTGTCATGCTGTTCCCAAGTATTGGCAGAAAACGTGGACGCCACCTAGACAGGGTAGAGTCAGTGCAGCAATTGCTTTCGTGTCTGTTGTCTAGATGACCTTTTGCCTTTTGTTTGATAAGAAAGTAACCACTATGTCCTTCAATAGGAAATGCCTTGCACGGTCGACAACATGCGGAAGATAGAGTCTTTGCATCCGTCCTCTTCGTGCTGGCATCATGAAGGCAACTTCCAGTGTTTGAAGCAGAAAGTCGGAGCTTCCTGGAACTTCACGGCCGAAAACAGCCCTGCCCCAAGCTTACATGTCAATGAATGCTGGCATGCCCAGCGAAGTCAGTGTAGGGCAGCAATGGCCGCGCCAGGCCCTAAACCCTAACCCTCCTATATTTTATTACGGATTCCCCTACACCTTAGACCCTCATCCTTCTATATTTTATTATGGAATCCCCTAAACCTTAGACCCTAATCCTTCTATACTTGAAGGTATCTTGCTTGGTTAAGGGCTTTTCAAATATGGTGGTTTCCGAAAATTAGGGGTACCCTACTTTGGGGTCCTTATAATAAGGGTCCTACGATTTGGGGAACTATATTAGGCTCCCCTATTTTCGGAAACTCCCAATATGAACCCTTATAGAGCCCTTGAAAGGAACCCTTATGGTACCCTTATAGTCGCCCTTTAAAGGAACCCTTAAAGGCTCCCCTACTTTTAGAAACTCCCATATGTCTCAGTTTCAGAAACTCCAAACCCTAAACCCTTTATAGAACCCTTATAGATCTCTTTAAGGAACCCTTAAAGGTATCCCTTTAAAGGGTCCCCTACTTTCAGAAACTCCCATATCTTGGTCCCGACCACCTTAAGGCGGGGATCGAGGCCCCAGGCTGAGGGCTTGACGGTTTAGGGTTTAGGGTTTTAGGGTTTTAGGGCTTTGGGGCTTTGGGGTTTGGGGTTTATGGTTTAGGGTTTAGGGTTTAGGGTTTTGGGGTTTAGGGCTTTGGGGGTTTAGGGGTTTAGGGGTTAGGGTTTAGGGTTTATGGTTTAGGGGTTTAGGGGTTTAGGAGTTTAGGGTTTTGGGGTTTTAGGGTTTTTTAGGGGTTTAGGGGTTTTAGGGCTTTAGGCGTTTAGGGTTTAGGGTTTTAGGGCTCATGGTTTAGGGTTTGGGGTAAAAGGAGACCATAACTCTGCCTGACCATAACCATGGGGATCAAAACAGCCCAAAAGCCGTATATAGTATGGCCTTTGGGCCCAAAAGCCTTAGTACATGCGTCCTTGGATCCCTAGAGTAACTCTGCCTGATACAAACAAGCGATGTTCAGGTTTTGCAACGGGTTTATAAGGAACCACAATCAAGACTATGCAAACATAGAGATACGGATAGTTCTTTACTGCACATGGTATACTTCCCTCCCAAACCCCTAAACCTTAGACCCCGCACAGCAAAAACTAAATGATTAAACGCCTCAGGTTTTCATGGCCTTGCGAGTTCCTAGACTCAATCCTTAGTAGGGGAATGCAGGGTTTGGGATTTTGGGGTCAAGGTTTATGGTGTAAGGTTGTAGATGTAAGGTTTAGGACTTAGGGTTTAGGATTTAGGATAGGGTTCAGGATTTAGGGTTTAGGGCGTAGCAGTGCCTTTGTAATTCGTTAATCAAAAGCCGGCTTCCTATAGGCATGACAATCTAGGTTCCTGAATAGCCCCCTTTACAATAAGGGTACCCTTTTTCCTGCTATTCGGTTATAATATGGCGACCTAAAAAGAGGGGCGAAAGGGTACTACTCAGGAACCTAGTAGACCTTAAACCCCTATAGATCCCATTATAGAACTCTTTAAGGATCCCTTATAAAACAACATTTACGGAATCCTTTCAAAAGGGTACAACTCAGGAACCTAGGAATGCAGAGACTCCCAAACCCCTTTGATTAAGGAACAGAGCTTAAATCAGATTAGGGATCCTATTAGAGTGTAAGGTATATTCCTTAATCAAAAAATAGTATTGCTTACCCTAAACCCTAAACCCTAAAAGGATATTGGAGTCTCTAGGAATGCAGTTCAAGCGGCGCACAGGCGGCCGCCAGGGCGAGAAGCGGAAAAAGTCGTTGTCGATCATCTTCTGAAAAGGTGTAAGGCCTTGCGGTTTAGGGCTTTAGGGTTTTAGGGTTTAGGGTTTAGGGTTTAGGGGTTTAGGGTTTAGGGTTTAGGGTTTAGGGGTTTAGGGTTTCACGGCTTTCGGGTTTAGGGCTCAGGGGTGTGAGGCCTTGCGTCTAAGTCTTCGGTTCGGAGATATTGCCTTGGGGCTTAGTAAGAGGGTTATACTTGTAGGTGTCGGGGTATGGGTCTTCGAGTCCAAGCATCGGAAGTACAAAAACCCCAAGGGCCCATACGCCCGAATGCCCGAAGCCATTAGGGCCTTGTTTCAGGACTGGGAGCATACACTTGTCCCGGCGCCTGAACAGTCGCAATGCCCGCAACTAGCCAGATTGAACGTTACAGGGTGGAAAGCCCCTCTTTTGCAGAGTCGAAGCCTAGAGACTCTAAAACTCCAAAGTGCCAAAAACTGCCCTACATCTTATCAAAGTTTCGCATCATGACTTTAAGGTATCGCCTTACGCAAAGGGTTGGGGAGTCTCTGGGAACACCAGCAAGCTTCAGGCGAGCGGCATGCCACTTCCAGCGAAGCAATCTCCTGGATTTTTTAAAGCAGTGCGATGTGCTTTGCCCCCCACAGAGTCAGGAACACCCTAGGTGGGCGCACACTATGTCAAAGCTCCAGATGACAACTCAGACAGCACAGCAAAACTGCAGAGTAGTTATTCTCCTGGATTTAGGGTTAGGGTTACGGGGACAAGTGTTCAGCCACGAGCTTGCAGAGTCTAGTGGGTTTGCTCGACACCCCCTCACTTAACCAATGCGGCCCATGCGAAAAAAAGGTAGAGTTGCTGATAATATTTGCTGGAAGGTTGAAGGAAGGTACTGTAACCTACCCGAGGTTATCAGCAACCCTGTCATATGGGTTGACCATGGTTGACCTTAAGTCCTGATAGAACCCATCTGAATCTTAAAGAGCCGTTATAGGAGCCTCTTCGAACAGGGCTTCACACCTTCCCTGCCTCAACCCTAAACCCTAAACTCTAAACCGCACACCCCAGAACAGTGAACCTTAAACCCTCGTCTTGCTACACCCCTCCTGCGCGGAAGCGTTGCGGCTGCCGAGAACTTGTGCGGTATTGGCCCGATGCCTGTGCCGAGTAGGCACTCCCCAACCCACCTAAACCCTAAACAACTCCGAAACTCGGTTTAGGGTTTAAGGCCATAGGCACCCCCCCAAGCCCTAAATGACCCCTAAATCTTGAGTAAACCCTCAAGCTCAAGGAGGTACTCGAACCTTTTGTGATAAAGACGTGCTGCGAGTTGCTGGCTGTTTCAGAGTTACCTGTGACTTTACTTAATTACAATGAATACATGCTTGCTATGGGACCCTCCGCTCAAAATACCCAACATGCAAACGTGCAGCACCTGCAAATTACATGTACCTAGAGAACGTCAGGTACTTGGGGTGTCGGGGGACTTTTTAACTAGTTGTTTTATAGACCAAAATACCAAAACACCAAATAGGATCCCAATTAGGATACAAAAAAGTCTACTTACTACCTACTTACTAAGTCCCCCGACCCTCCAAGTAGAAAGCTTTCAAGAGGCTACAACAACAAGCCGACGGAGAGTGATAAGACAACGTCTACTGTTGGAGATTCCTGCAAAAGAACTCGTACCTTTGGGGATACTTTAGGGTTTGGGTTTAGATGCATAGTCAATGTCCCAGGTTCTCTCTTTTTTACGGCTCCCGGAAAAAGCTTCGACCGAATAGATGAAAGCATAGAGCGTCCATATTGATTGGAATACGGTGGCTTACAACGAGTTCCCTTAAAGGGTCCTAGAAGATATTTATAAGGTCATACCTGGGATATAGATGCTTTAACCATAACAAAAACGGTTTTGAGGATATGATAATATGCGGGCCTTAACAGGTACAAGAGTGCTTGCGGTTGATATATAGTGTGGTGGTCGACGGGAGCGGATGCAATTGATCATTATTCCCACACTTACATAGAATCCTAAACCCGAAGACCCTGAAATCAACGCTGTATACAACCCAAAATAAATAGACATGTAGGAAAGGGGTAGGACTAGACCCGAGGCAATGAACCGACGACCGGATGAACGAATTCTGAACCCAGAGACTCCAAAACCCCTTCATTAAGGAATATACGGTACATCATATTAGGGATCCCATTGTAATTTGAGGTACGCTCCTTAATTGATGTGTTTTGGAGTCTCTGGGAATGCTGGGTTGGGCACATGATGTGAAGACAGAGGCCGTCGACATCCTTGTAAAGGAGTACCTGGCTTGTCTGTGGACACCGAGTGTTTAACTTGAGGTTTTGGCTTCAGAGTTTCGGGTTTAACACTCCAAGCCTAAACCCTAAACCCTAAACCCCAGTCCAAGCCCAAGGGGGCTTCGCGTTTGACTTTGACGGCATCTGGCGCTTGTGCTCCGCGGCGGTTGGGAGCGGGTGTTGAGGGTTCAAGGGGTTTAGGGTTCAGGATGTCTCCAAAGGGCTTGCGCTGACCGATAAACCCCAATTAAACCTTAAGCCAAAAAAATTACACCTCGAACTCTTGAGGCTATGCGGCTGTACGGCTTGGTTTGGATCCCGGAGCCTTACACCCCCTAAACTTGAAAACTGGCCCTAAATCCCAGCTAATACAAACACCCCATCGACCCTAAATGTATAGGGCTGAGTGTGTAGAGTTTCGGATTTAGGATCCTATCATGACATGGAGTTGAGGGATTTGATGTTGGTGCACTGCAGTAGGGCTCCTCGTTATAACTAGACTGTTCCTGGTGTTCCTTTTCGACTTGTACCAAATCCATAGTGCTCCTGTTTGGAACTATATCAATCTCTCGCCCTAAACCCTAAACACCTAAACCCTATATCCTCAGTATGCACCCTAAACCCTAAACACCCAAACACCTTAAATCCTTACAATCCCTAGTACGCACCTTGCGCCTGGCCCGGCTGTCCAGCCCGAAGCCCGAAGTTGTGGAGGTCCGGTCGCGGGGCTTGAGGGCATAATTACAGCTTGGGGGGTTTAGGGTTTTAGGGCTTCGGGGTTTAGGGGTTTAGGGCTTAGGGATTAGGGTTTTAGGGCTTAGGGCTTTAAGGTTTAGGGCTTAGGGGTTTAGGGATTTACCCCGACCCTGAGTAACCTACCTTTTGAAGGACTTACCATTAGGAAATCAGGAAGAAGCAGCCGGTGACCCCCAAACCCCGAACTCGAGACCCGACTCTGACTCCAGAACCAAAACATTCCTAGAGGCTCCTCATATGGGAGTTTCCGAAAATAGGGGACCCTAATATAGTACCCTAAATAGTAGGATCCTTATTAAAAGGACTCCAATATGAGGTACCCCTAATTTTCGGAAACCCTCATATACTACCATTCTGGATTTAGGTCCCTCAAACCGTAGTAAGGATACCTTTTTGGGACCTAATACCATTTTTGGTCGTATATGAGGAGCCTCTGGGATTGTAAACCCTTACCCTAAGGGTCCGGGATCCTCGCAGTGAAATCTTAGACCTGAGCCTTAGCCCCAAGGGCCAAACTCCCCTCCCCCCCCAAAGCCCATGACTCTCTTTTGGGAGCCGACCCTAAATCCTGCCAGTAGTACTCCTAACAAATCCCGAAGCCAAAACCTTCATATAACCCGAACAGACTCTCTGAAACGCGGAGAAGGCACCCTCAGCCTCAAACCCCGCAAAACCCTGACCCTGCCCCTTCTCCACCATGCTCCACCCACCCAAACCTGGCCTTGTCGTTTCCGTACACCTCGCGGAGTTTGAGGAAAAAAGGCGCATCTTCGGCGAATCCGACGTTGGGGTACGGAAACCTGGGTTGTAGGGCTCCAGGTTCAGGGCTTATGGCTTCAGAGAGCAGGGGTCAGGGTTTAGGGTTCAGCGCCGAGGGCTTTCTGGAGTCGGAGTTGGGATTTAAGGTTTAGGGTTTGTAGGGCTATCACAGGGCTTTACGGGGTCGGGGTTACCCTATGGATCAAAACGTCCCCACAACTATGTACCTGGGTTTCGAATACTGGACACTGGGTTTAGTGTTTAGGATTTGGTCGGGTCGTATTTGTGAGAATGTACGGCCATTTGGTACTTAGACCCCTTAGGGTTTGGGTTTGATTCCAGGTTCAGCATTAGGTTCTCCAGGGCTTCAGGTGAGCGGGCTGAGGCCTGTGAACTTGCTCCACCGTAATGCTCCACACTCGAACCTGCTTGAAACAATGTACTGCTTTAGAGTAGGGTTTAGAGTTTAGGGTTTAGGATTCAGGCTTAGAATAGGGTTTCGCGATAAACTGCTCTATACTACAAGTAGCATGTATGCGGGCTATGAGGGATGTAGTGCGACAAAGTAATCTGACGTCTCTTCTACACCTGAAGCCTTGCCTCAGAGATACTATGTGACCATTACTGCTCCCGAAATGTAGACCCTGATCACGAAGCCGCCCTCCTTTGATATGGACTACCATAGGGATCCCGGCCCCTGAACAAAAAGGTTGACTGTACTAATCATGCGTCTACATTACACGGGAGCTGTGCACGATACTCAGACGATTACCAAAGACTTTGATGCGCACGTCCTCTGTGCGGGTGTTCTGAACAATGGTCTCAAATGAATTTCTTGGCCTATGGACTAAAACAAAGGTCTTGGGCTACAAAAAGAATGTATATAGGTAGACAAAAATATCAAACCCTGGGGAGTAGTACGAACTATTCCGAAGCCTAGCCCCAAGGGTCCAAAGGACCCAATAATTGGGTACTCGGTTTTAGGATAGTAGTTATGTAGGTTAGGATTTTGGTGAGTGCATGATGATTCGGTACTTGGACCCTTAGGGATAGAGCCTATATACCCCGAACCCTATATCCTAAGCCTTATATTATATAGGATAGAGCCGATATACCCTGAACCCTATATCCTAAGCCTTATATTACATAGCCCATATTCCCTATATATTCTAAACCCCAGGCCCTAACCTTCAGGTCCCTTACTTGGAGGGGCAGGGGACTTAGTAAGTATGGTTATAAGTAGAGAAAAAAGTACCCTAAATGGAGTTACTGCAATTATAACCCTACTTATAACCCTACTTACTAAGTCCCCTGCCCCTCCAAGTAGACCCTAAACCCTAAACCCCGTAGATCCCCTTTAAGGCACCCTAAGGAGCCCTTTCAGGACCCTTACTAAGTCCTCTGCCCCTCCAAGTAGGGTAGTACCCTAAACCCTAAACCCTAAACCCCTAAACCCTAAACCCTAAACCCCTAAACCCTAAACCCTAAACCCCTAAACCCTAAACCCTAAACCCCTAAACCCTAAACCCTAAACCCCTAAACCCTAAACCCTAAACCCTAAACCCTAAAAGTAGGTACTTCCTCAGAAGGAGCACGGAGCTAGTACCCTGGGGCCTGGCGGCCTGGAGCCTCAACCCTAAACTGAAACCCAAATCCGAATCCCTACAGAAGAGATCCCTAAGGGTCCCAGTACCCAAATAGTAGGGTTCAAAATCCAAAAACCCATTCAGAGTAATTACGGAGTTTGGGGACCTAAAACCCTATTATTTGGGTACTTGGACCCTCTGGGAATCTCTCAAACCCAGCACCCTGTAGACCCGAAAAGCCCTATAATAGTAGGGTTTTGAGGTTTAGTGCTATAAGTGCAAAAACCCCATCCTCATTGAAGTGGATACTGGCTAGGGCTCGCTTTCAAAAGCCCCGGTGGTGTCGGAAATACGGACAGCTTTACTTCGTGACAGATCGCAGGAGCTGGAAGCAGCTTCCTTGCTGAAACCTAAGGATAGGGGCCCGAAATCACAGTAATAATAAGAACAGTAATGGTTCAGGGTTTTGGGGTTTAGGGTTTGGGGTTCGGGGTCATGATCATAATGACGAGAGGTGCCGGATCCTTGATCATAAGGCTCCAGGTGAGATACTGCAAAAAACGCACCTACCTGGGTGTGAACTACCCTAAACGCTGCACCCCTCGACCGAAACCCCAAGCAACCGTCATGCATGTTTTTCAACCCCTCGACCCCTCGGCTAATCGTTGGTGTCGCGCATAAGGAAATCAATGAAGGGACGGGATATCGGATATTGAACCCCTTATGGTTCAACCCACGAAAAAGGCAGGGATATCCCGATGAAGTTGTTATGCTTATGCCCTTTGCGCCCCTTATACTGAAACCAAGGCCGAAGGTGCAGCAAGCTCGCTTGACGACGGTGCGTGTAACTAAAACCTCGGCTGCGTGCGGATGAGGGCCGATGTGGGGAGAGGGTCAAATCCAGATTGCCGGGCACAAGATTTTCTGGAGGGCTCCTGGCCAACGTATAGACAAGGCGGTTCAACGAATTTTGCAAAAGTAGTCTAAGCCCGTAACCCTAAACCCACCTTGGACAAGCCGGTATAAGGTAGGGGCCTGGACAGTTGCAACTGCGTTTTGCGTGAAACCATGGCATCGTTGTGATACCGAACCTCAGCAAGCAGTATTGGTAATTCGTCCGACCTCCCGACCCTGAACCCTAAAACCTCCACCCTTTAGCAACCTAGCATCCACGGGTAAAAGGAGGGACCCTTAATAAGGACCCCCAGGTATATACCCTTAATATAGCTATTATATATCCATTATATAGCCCAGTACAGGGTAGGGGTCCCCATTAAGGGTCCCTCTTTTTCCCCTTTGATAGCATGTGGAGGGCAGGCAGCCGTAGCCATAAAGGATGTCATCCAGCTCAGCCGGGCTGTCAACCCATTCCTGGATCGAGGGCTTAACGGTTGATGATATAAATCCTGCATTACCCATAAAAAGGAACATACTATAATTCCCATAGTTTCGGGTCCTTAAGGCAATACAGGATTAATATCATCAACCGAAGCATTCAGGATGTACGGGCTTTAAAGTCTGGGGATTTCGGGCTTCGGGGTTTTAGGGTTAAGGGATTAAGGATTTGGGGTTTTGGGCTCAGGGCTCTATCTCTATCGGGCTCAAAAGGGCCAAAAGGGCTCTATGCAAAGGGCCTTACTGTCTTTAGGGCCGCGGGTATGGTATTTTTGGCGGTAGCGCTTTGGGGGTTCTAGGGTTTTGTGTTGGTGGTTGGGATTAGACTTGGGTGTGCTTCAGTTTGAAGGTATAGGGCAATGGATGGGAATGAATGTAAGCGTGAATCGGTGATTGGTTATAACGCCAACAGCACCCAACTGTTCAGGCACTTAGGGAATTCAGGGTTTAGTATCTGGTGTTTGTGGATTGGGATCCAAAGCCATCTCTGACCAGGCGTCATCCCAGCTCTCTGGGTCGGAGAAGGTGCAAACACCCTTACCTCGGCTACCGCGGCGGGAGGATTCCAAAAGTAGATCCCTTAATGGGGGTTCCTATAAAGTACCCTTAGTAGATAGGGCCCCAAATTAGGGGATCTACTTTCTAGGTTATAGGGCCCCAAAAAAGCACATAAGCAAAAGTACGGATAGGGATATCCCATATAAATCACCTCATCGTGAAGCTCAATAAGGTGGGGATATCCCTAGAAAATGCTTGTGCTTATGTGCTATCTTGGGTCCCTAGTTTAGGGGCTCCCACGAAAGTTGAAATACAATTCTGAGGGCCGATAGGGGGCCTTGGTAATTCGAATGTTTCTTTCAGGGTTGCTCTTCGGGGTTGTTTAAAGGCTGTATGCACTACTCTCCGTGATAGCCCGAATGCCGCAACGCAACGTGCGTAAGACCTTTAGCAGACTACGGCTGGGCCCCGTCCGAAACCCTCACCCCTATTTTCTAAATCCCAAAACTCTATAAACCCTAAACCCTAAACCATAAACCCTAAACCCCTAAACCCTAAACCCGAAAACCTAAATTGAAAAAAAAACGATGGCTGAAGCCCATCATCTCTGGCCTCTTCTCTGAAGTCGAGGATCATCTGCGATTCTGAGTCTCTAGCACTGCTGTGTATTTGGACTTTATCTTCTTCTTGCTTCTTGTAACTGTTAGGGTTATTGTAAGCAAAATATGGACAGTCTTAGTGTTTTTTTTTGTATGGCGCTTGGTATTATTTTCATATCTTCTTTTGGTATTCTTAGCCTGACTGCAGGGTCTTGATTGTTTCTGGGTCCCTCATGAGAATGTGTAAGGGTCCGATTAGGCTTTGGGGTGTAAGGTGTGGGGTTCAAAGTGTAGCGTTTTGGGGGCTTCCTGCCTGTAGGCGTAGGCCAGCAACCCCGTCCCGTGATCCTCCTAGCTAAGCGTTTTCTGTGCTTCGTGTGGCCCCTAGTAGTGGGATCCGCAGGAGTGACAATAATTGTAACTGTCTTCTAGATAAAGTATCTATATACCTACATATCATATATCTGTATGTGGGTAGACATTATGTATAGGTACATACACACATAACCGACATGTAAAAACCTGTTATATACACATACACGCATACATACATACATACATACATACATATATATATATATATACATACATACATGCATACATATGTATATACGCATATATACATAAGAAGTAAAAGTAATTGTGCTGTATATATAAACATAAACAAGTATTTGTGCCGCTTCAGAACTTCCTGCTGCGACCACAACCCCGACAAGGACCGCTACGTTCCATGATTACTACGACTTCACGGCTACTGGAGCAACTGCCACTACTACTGCTACTGCTACTGCTACTGCTACTGCTGCTGCTACTGCTACTGCTACTGCTACTGCTACTGCTACTGCTACCGCTACCGCTACCGCCACGACTACTACTACTTACTACTACTACTACTACTACTACTACTACTACTACTACTACTACTACTACTCCTCCTACTGCTACTGCTACTGCTACTGCTACTGCTTACTGCTACTACTACTACTGCTACTACTACTACTACTACTACTACTACTACTACTACTACTACTACTACCACTGCTGCTGTTGCTGCTGCCGCTACTTTACTACTGCTGCAACTGCTACTGCTACTGCTACTGCTACTGCTACTGCTACTGCTACTACTGGAAAAAGGACTAAGAACACATCTTGATAACAGCGAAACTTTACCAAAGCCCGGCATGTCCCGGCTGCCAATGTAATAGTTGTACCAGGCCGATAGGGTGACCCCAACCAGTCGCTCCTGCAACGACTGCACTATGCTTTGAAGTAGCCGTTTAGCGTTTAGGGTTTAGGGATTTAGGGTTTGGGGCTTATAGGAAAAATGAATATGCCTTCTTTCATAAGTTCTTTCAAGGAGCTGGCACAAACAAATGCTGCAGTTCGGTACTCCAGAACCCAGTACAAAGGACTATGGCTCAAGAACTCATCGTTCAGGGTTTCCTAGAGAAAGCGAGGTCCTGAAAAGGATTGCCATGTGCCTAGTAAGCCCAGTCTTCAAGGTCATACCCCTAAACTCTTAGCCCTAGACTATGTCCGGTATATAGTCTGGTCTTTGCGGTATATTGATGCGCTTTGGGGGTTGGGGCGTTTCTCTAAAACCCTTTCTAACTCTAAGGCCCGAAACTCGACAAGTGACAATTTGTAGGGATCTAAGGACTCACACATTAAGGCTTTTGGGCCCAAAAGACCATGCTATAAGAGCCTTTTCGGCTATTGCGATGCCCAGAGAATGCTGCTTCGCTCCAATGCTTTGGAAGGAGGACGCCGGATAATATGATGCATACACGACATACATATGGGTGGTTGTCAAAATTAGGGTCCCTTTTTGGGTCCCTATTATGTTACGGCACCTATTATTTAGGGTACCCAAAAAGGGACCTCAATTTTGACAACTACCCAATATGCAGTTCTTTCAAGATGCTTCAACGAGTGAATCTACTCAGGTCTCAAGGTTCTTCGAGCAAGACCTTGCCGTGCCTTTTGCGTATGGAATTTTGACAGAACTTAGGGAAGTGTCGCAGCTAACAGAATCACGAATGATCACGAAAGATCCCTATAAATCGCAGCGGAGCCTGTCAATCCTGATGCTACTCCCATAGGACCATGACCACCCCTACCTGGAGGTTTCCGAAAATTAGGGGTACCTTATTTGGGGGTCCTTATAATGAGGATTCTACTATTTCGGGTACAGTATTTGGGTCCCCTATTTTCGGAAACTCGTCCTATACAACCTGCATAGATTTACTGTCGCGGCTCAGTCCTTCTGCATCAGGCTCACCATCTTCGTGACGTAACCTGGCAAGGCTGTGACTTCCGGGGGGGGCTTGTGTGTGGCAGTTAATCATGCCCAGCCATGTGACGGATGACGAAAGGAATGATGATGGTGATGATGAGGATGGTGAGGATGCTGAGGACGATGATGGGGAAGGTAAGGGAAGGGAAGGAAAGGAAAGGGGAGGGGAGGGAAGGAGGCAGGAGGGAGCGAGAGAGAGCAACCGGAGCGAGACAGACAGGGACACAAAGATCCGACCCGGTTGGGTTCATCGGAAGGCCGAAGGTTCGGTAAAGGGTTTCATAACGGGTTATGGGGTTGGGGCTCGGGGTATTGGGTTTAAAGGCTCAGGGCGGCAGGTGTCGGAGGCCTGGCGCGTAAAGGTCGTCGTCGTCGAAATTAACGATGTACTCACCTGCGGACATTGGCAAGAGCTTCTGAAACTTCCAAACCACTTAATCCAGGTGTTAAGCTCGAACTCGAAACCTCACGAAGTTTGGGTTTTTGGAATCTCTGAACCTACATTAGTGTCCGGGATACAAAACCTGCAGGGCTACTTGGGACGGACCCGTCATGTGCAAACGTCCCGATACAGACTCGAAGTTCCGAAAATTGCAACCCTGCCGGTCCAAACGATTCGGGGGTTAGTGCTTGGGGGCCAAACACTTTAGGGTTTGGGGCCACCTCTTCTGATATCAGCCGGCGCATGCAAAGTCTGCAGTTTTGCAGCTAACATGGGGCAGATATCCTCGGTCCCTGGTCCTTGAAACCCAAAAACCTCTAAACAATGCTTGCTGAAGATGCTTCTTTTCTACCCTCCCGCTGTGCACTATACCTCCTCAAAACCTGTAACACAGAGACTCCAAACCCTATAACTAAGGCATATGCCTGAAAATACAACTTGGAACCCTAATAAGAGTTAAAGGGCATTTCTTAATTCAGGGGTTTTGGAGTCTCTGGGAGTGCAGGCGTGAATAAAAAAACCCTGGCAACTACGAATCCCCGTAATTAAAGATTTCCACGAAAACCAGAACCTTATGACCCTGCTTGAACCCATATCGAAGCCCTCTAGAATCCTTATTTACAGAGCCCAGGTAAAACCCTATTTGTACAACCCTAATCGAGCCCTACGCAACCTTCATACGAGTAGGACCCTAATCGAACCCATGTCCTAGTTGCTGAGTTCATAAGCCCCCAAAAGTGTACACTTTCAGTTTTATAGTGGGTAATGTTATATATCCCAAAATGTGTAAAGTGTATCCGCTCAGCTACTAAGAGGTTGTAAACTGCTACATGTCGATCCCTAAATCTCAGCCTGTGGCCATGTGGAGCGTCATGTTGCGCTTCAAGCCAACAGTAAAGTCCTGCTGTAGGGTTTGGGGTAAAGAAAAAACTTAAGGCACAAAACCCTAAAACCCTAAACCCCTAGAAGTTAATGGCGAAGGCCAGGCTCGTCGTGCTTACGACGCGCTCTAGGTCATCGAATCCGACTGGCTCCCTCTTTTAAGTTAGCAGATACCATTTCCATGACTGCATGGTCCTTGAAGTATTCCGTGCACAAAGGCAGCGAATGGCGGCAGAATTGAAAGATGCCCCAAATCGGAGCCGAAGGGTCGATTGTCAGTTTCACGATGCAAGTCCAAGTAGAGCGATAACTGTTGATGATATACATCCTGCATTACCTTAAGGACCCAAAACTATGGGAATTATGGTCTATTCCTTATTATGGGTAATGCACGATTTATATCATCAACCGTAACCGGTCTGGGGGTTACACGCTTAGGGATTTAAGGTTTGGGGTTTACAGTTTAGGGAGTCAGTTCAGACGAGGGCACCTGTAAACGTACTTACCGACCCCACCTACTATCGCAAGATCCCCGACGCACTACGGGGTCTTTCTTCACCAGAAGCCGGTGCTGAGACAGCTTATGGAATATCTGTTCGTGGACGGTAGTACAAACGCTGATTATGCAGACCTCACAGAAGCCCTTAACCCTAAACCCTACTATACCCGAAACCCTGGATCCTAAACCCTTAACCCCAAGCCCTAAGCCCTAAACTCCAAAGACTAAACCCCCAAACCCTAAACCCCATAAACCCTGAGCCCCATTAACCCTAAACCCCTATTCTAGATCCCTTAGAGATCCCTTTCAAGGAGCCCTTTAAGAGTAACCTGTTAAGGAACCCCAATTTCTGGGTCCCTAAGCCCTGAACTCTGAACCCAGTCCTGGCCAGGCTGTACTTTGATGGTGATGTGTACAATCCGCTCATCCACCATGGCCTCCCGGATGTTGAGTGAGGGTTTTTTTGTGTAGTTCTCTCATTTAGGGTTCCTTAACTCTTAACTCCTTAACTGATCCACAAGGTGTTTTGATCTAATGTAGAGTTCCTTAAACTGATCCATAAGGGTCCCTATAATTTCAGGGTTTAGGGTAGTTCTCTCACCCAGGGTTCCTTCCCAAAGGGATCTATAATAAGGGTCCCTATGATGGTTCCTTAAAGGGATCCAAAAGAGTTCCTATAGGGGTTTCTATCTCCCGGATGCCAGCTTTGAGATCCCCAGATCGCTGTCTTGAGGAAGGTCTAACCCTGAAAGGGCTCAGGGGGTTAAGGGCTTAGGGTCTAGGGCTTAAGGGCTTAGGGTTCAGGGTCTGTAAGGGGGCTTGGGGCTTAGGGTTTAGGTCTTCAGACCCTAAACCCAATCCTAAGCCCCAAACCCTAAACCCCTGAAGCCTTAAACCCCGTAAAACCCTAAACCCCAAAGCCCTAAACGGCAAGCTCGCAGAGCCTTCGCCTGGAGAAACTTCGAGGGCGCATCTTCATACCTCTCTTCTTCAACAACCGGGCCGCAAAAAGGTTTGGGGTTTAGGGTTTAGGGTCCCTAAACCCTAAACCCTAAAGCCAAAAAGTTTAAAGTTCACCCGTTCACTATCCAAGGTACGTTTCCACCACGATGAGCTCCTTGTCTGCCTGGAAGGACAAGGTGTTTGGGCTTAGGGTTTTGGGGTTTGGAGTTGAGGTTTCCCCAGTTTGTAGTTTAGGGTTTAGCTAACCAGTGGTTTTGAGGTTCCCTTGGCTCTTTAGCTCCTTATTTAATAGGGATTATCAACATCCCTGGCTCCTTAGCCCCTCCAATATCAACGGTTAGTTAGGGAGGTTTATATTAAGGGTTTAGAGGGTTTGGAGAGCTTAGATTTCCCATAAGCTCCTGTCCGCCTGGAAGGAAGGGGCTTTACAGATTCGGTGCTTAGAAGGCTCTTATCGTGTTTCATAACCGGTAAGCCCTCATGCCCTAAACCCTAAACCTTAGGTAAGTTTGGTAAGTACTGTTGATGGCAAAATATTGCATTACGCATTATGAGGAATATACCATAGTTCCTATAGTTTAGAGTCCTTAGGGTCACGCAGGATTTTGTCCATCAACAGTAGGGAATGGAAGCATACCATTCTGCCATTCCCTTAACCAAAGGTAAGTAAACCCGCAGAGCTTTGAAAGGTGCCAGAAAAGCAACTCGAGTAAAGCGCTTGTGGTACCTGCAAGCCTGCAGCCCTACGTACTATACTGCTTAGCCTGGCGCCTGACTCAAGGTATCAGTGAACCTGAACCTGCTATACTTGGACCCAGAAAGAAACTCTGCAAATCCCTTGCAATACCTAGAGGCTCCTCATATACGACCATTATTATGGAATTAGGGCCCTAAAACCATATTAAGGATGGTCTTTTGGGACCTCATTCCACAACGGTAGTATGTCAGGAGCCTCTGTGATAGGAAAAATCTCCAAAAACCCTGTTAAGGCCCGCCTATCATAGTACCCTTATAGTAACCCCTGTAGGACCCTTTCTGCAAGGAACCCTTTAAGGGAACCCTACTTGGAGGGGCAGGGGACTTAGTAAGTAGGTTATAAATAGAGTTATAAGTGCCCTAAATGGAGTTACCCCAATTATAACCCTACTTATAACCCTACTGCCCCTCCAAGTAAGCCCTACACCCCTAAAATCCCTAAACCCCAACCTAAACCCTAAACCCCAAAACCATAAACCCTAGTAGACTTAGAATTACCGTAGGCCCCCTGGAGGGCAGGAGTCCGACCGAGGAGCCCATGTCTGAGATTCGAAGCAGCGCCAAAGGTTCTCGTGGTAGTGCCTTGAGGTTTAGGGCTTTAGGGTTTTAGGGCTTTAGGACTTTAGGGTTTTAGGACTTTAGGGTTTTCGGATTTCAGACTTTTAGGCTTTTAGGACTTAGGGTTTTAGGGCTTTAGGATTTCAGGGTTTTAGGATTCACTTGAGGTTTAGGGTGTTAGGGATCTATAAGGGCTCCTTTAAAGGGATCTATCGGGCTTTATAGGGTTTTAGGGTTTAGGGTCAAGGGGTTTAGGGTTCAGGGTCTGGGCTTTTTCGGGCTTTAGGGTTTACGGGTTTCAGTTAAGGGTTTACAGTCGAAGCCCGAAAGTTGGAAACCCCATAGCCTCAACCTTGAAGGGTAATGTATGGGGAATCCCAGCACTACTTGGCCTTAATCCGGTTTCCAACTTTATGGGGTTTACTGTAGGGTTTTAGGAATTCAAGGTTTTCGGGTTTTAGGACTTAGGGTTTTAGGGTTTGAGGGCTTTGGGTTTTTCGAATTTCCTGGTCTTGGGAGTTTGCGGCATGTTTAGGGTTTGGGGGTTTGGGTGGGAGTTGCTAGTTATAACAAGTGCAGATACTGTATTTCTGTGAACCCTATACCCAGAGGGTCTACATATACTACCATTATGGAATTATAGGCATTATAGGTTCCAAAAGGCAATCCCCATTATGGTTTTTGGGACCAAATTCCACAATGGCAATATATATGGACCCTCTGGGGTAACACCCCGAACGTCAAGAACAGGTGTGCGATGTAGAGCTGCCCAGACTCCATCCGATTACTTCAGAAGCTTACCAAAGTTCGATGAATGCCCAAAACGTCTTCTCAAACCTAGCGACAACCCCAACATCACTTTGCAAATGCCCCAGAGAGATGTGGGGTTTGAGGTTTTTTGGGGTGTAGGCTTTGGGGTTTTGGGTTCACAGGTTCACCACCTCACAGCGACAACAGGAAAAACAACACAATTGAAGCACGCCGCAGGTCGCCACCAAAAGCCCTCATGCGACGCGTTGTCAAACCTCTAACTCATGCACTCTTCCGAATCATACAGCCTAGTTGCAGGATCATGGGACTTGGTTGTAGGTATGGTTATAAGTACCTTAATTAATTGGTGTTAGAAGCAGTTACAAGTACAGTTACGCGAAGAACAACCCTAGTTACGAAGTCCCATGATCCTTTAAGTAAACCGAAAAGCCTCCTTACCCTTAGGGTCCAAGTACCCAAATAGTGAGTTTTCAAGGTCAAAACAGAGTAATTATGGATTTTGGGCAGACCCACTATCTGGGTACTTGGACCCTCTGAGTTATACTTAAACCCCAACCCTGAACCCTGAATCCTAAACCCTGAACCTGTAAAGATACCTTCTAAGTAGCCCTTGAGCCTGGCCCTACTCATAACTAAAATCCTAAACCCCGCCTAACCCCCACCTTGGGAGCCGAAAATCTACCGTTTTAAAGCCTCTACCCTCTAACTAAGGGGTCATGACCTACTATTTTGCAGGGTAACCCCGAAAGTGAACCCCAGAAAGTTGGAACATAGGTTTAGGATGATTCATGCTCGGATCCCCAATACTTTACTTTAAGGGCATGAGGCTCATGATGTTCCAACTTTCTGGCTTGTACTGTATCCCCAAAGCCTTGAACCCCAAAACCCTGAGCCTCATGAGCCTCAGAAGCGAAAGCTTGACATCCGCAGCCTAACCCCCAGGTAGGTGATTCGGGGTTAAGGTAGGGCTTTAGGGGCTCCATATGTACTAAGTCTATATCGACTGCATTATACCATAACAAGGACGGTCTTCTGGGACCTATATAATTCATACTGGTAGTGTACATGAAGGGTCTGGGCCAGTAAAGGAACCTTCGCGGAAATTAAAACCCGAGAATCTAGAACCCAAGCCAGATTCCTCAGTTCGAAACCCGAAACCGCCCATCATGCAACCCCCTACTTCAAAGCCCCCAAACCTTGGTACGGGTGCCCCTATAGTACCGTTGTTGTCGAGTCTGCCTTTCTGGATCACTCCAGAAGGGAGACAGAGTCTAAACCCTAAGCCCTTAACCCCTAAACCCCTAACCCCCAAACCCCTAAACCCAAAGCCCCTGAACCCCTAAACCCTAAACCCTACAGATCCCTTTAAAGGAACCCTAAAACCCTAAACCCTTAAACCCTGAACCCTAAAGATCTCTTTAAAGGAACCCCAAACCCCTAAGCCGAAGAGCTGTCGCTTCGACATGGAGGGCGCCACGATGGACACCCGCCCGGGCACCTCGAAGTTCACGCCGGTCCTTGGGGATTTTTAGGGCTGAGGGTTCGGGGCTCATGGGGCTTATCGTTTACGGTTTAGAGTTTAGGGTTTATAGAGTCCATAATGTAGGATTTATGGGGCTTATAGCGCTTTTAGGGGTTATAGGGATTACGGCTTAGGGCTTGGAAGGTTTAAGGGTTTAGGGGTTTAGAGGGTTTGTAGGGTTTAATTATAGGGTTTGGGGTTTAGAGGGCTTAGAGGGTTGATAGGGTTTGGGGATTATAGAGTTTAACGGATTTCGAAGGCTTACAGGGGTTGTAGGGTTTGGAGGGCTTGGAGGGTTTTAGAAGCGCTGATGCGGTTTATAGTATAAGGTCCTGGGTTGAGGGTTTATATAAGTTTCCGGGCTTAGGGCAATAGCTGAGGAGTTTTTAAGGCGTATAAGGGTTTCTGGACGGAACGGCTCCTGTAATTCAAGGGTCCTACAGAGTTTCTAGACTACTTGGAGGGCAGGGGAGTTAGTAAGTAGGTTATAAGTGGAGTTATAAGTACCCCAAATGGCGTTACCCCAATAATCACCCCACTTATAACCTACTATGGTCCGGATGCACATCCGGCGTGGGGCAAGCAAACTACTTTGTTCGGGTCGGCTGTGCTAGCCACGTACCAAGTCCTGGCCAACCTTCTCAACCAAGTGTTTGAATAAGGATTGTTCTCCAACCATATTCACCTGCAGTGATCTGTCTAAGGAGCACCTACTTGCGCTTAGCCGCAGGTAGCCTGACCCATAGCCAGGCTCTAGACCCTAAGCTGCAGCACCTGCCATCGAACAGCTAATCCGAAAAGAGTATCATTTCGAAGGGTCTTCGTATCAACCAGCACTTAAGGAAACGGCAATGACCAGTATTGGCGTGCTGAAAAATTTGCAGCTCAGCGATGATCCTATACCCAGAACCCAAAAAGCCAATCCTAACTCAGAAGACCGAAAACCCCGAGAGAAACTCTCAGGAACAGCCTTAAGATTACAAGGTTAAGGGCTCAGTTGCCCCAGTTGTGGCGCTGTTTTCAGTTTCCGGTCAGGGCCAAGCCAATAGCCCTTCAATGGCCCCTGGTGCCTGAACAGAACAAGTTTCAGGATCTGGTACGCTTCAGCAGTGCTCAGGGTTTGGGGTCTCGGCTTCTTAACTCAACATCCGAAACGCCTCCACCCCTAGATCATAGGGATCCTGAGGGGTGTAGGGGGAGGGGGGGTAGGGGGCCTTAAGGCCCATAATAAGGACTAATAAGGCCTATTTAAGGAAATATAGTCCCCTACAGCCCTCCCCCCTACACCCCTAAGGATCCCTATGACTAGATCATGAAGCTTCACGTTCCGAACTCTTATCCACATCTGCTATAGGGGCCTTAATCATTAGAACAGGGTTTTGGTGTACGTCATATACTATAACCATAAGGACCCTCTCTCCCACAATCGTATTGGTATTTGGTATTTACTTAGGGTCCAATATTAGCGGAATGCCGTTCAGGCGTCCCACCGATCAGGATAGCTTGCGATGGTAGCCGCCGCATAGTCGCCATCTCCGTGGGATGGTACCTCGGACCAGGGTTCAGGCCGAAAAGGTCTGAAGTTAGAGTTTAGGGTTTGGGTTTGTAGGTTTAGGGTTTCAGGGCTTCGGGTTTAAGGTTTTGAGGTTGTAGGGTTTAAGGTTTAAGGTCTTGGGGTTTTAGGGTCTAGGGGTTTAGGGCTTAGGGTTGTGCCCAGAGGGTCCAAGTACCAATATAGTAGCTACTTAGTCGGTCATTGGGCCCCAGAAGTATATACTATTCTATTACTTCGGCCCTCTTTGGGATAGTACACGATGGACCTCAGGGTTGTGTAGGATTCTGGGCCTATAGGGTTTAGGGTTGATTCGGACTTTCTTCAAAATGCAGTTCTTGCTTTGGCATGCCGTCGTGTTTTAAGTAGGGGCCATAGGTTAAGATAGGTTTATGATTACTTCTAGCACTACTGTTGTCGTCATCACCTACTTGTGGGGCATCATGTGGAACTAAAGGCTAACCTTTTTGGTTATATAGGGATTATCTAGGGACTCTACTACCCAAAAGAGGTTAAAGTTAAAGGTTACCAACTCTACTAGGATCATGTCAAGCAGCTTGTCTAGTTACGACTTGTGGCTCAACGACGTACTTTCGGATTAACGTGGAGCGATCAGAACTCGGGTTCAAGCAATGTTTCTGAGACCATGGTTCGGGGTTTATGGTGGAAGGGTAGATGGAGGTGTGTGTTTTAGTGTATCCCAGTATATATAACGACTAAACTCTCACCCAAACCCCGGGGAGGATCCAAAAAGTAGATCCCTGAATGGGGGTTCCTATAAAGTACCCTTAGTAGTAGTAGGGCCCCAAATTAGGGGATCTACTTTCTAGATCCTCCCGGGGGTCTGGGTGTGTAGGGGTCATACGATCGTCGTGGTTCTTCAAATTTAGGATTCAGGGTTAAGAAAGGCTATTCAGCTTGCAGCAATTTCGTTCCAATTAATTGTTTAGGACCTATGACTTGGGACTTGGGTCCTGGGAAGTACTGCTGAAAGGAGTTGCCGAATCCCAGTTGAGCGGTTTTCGAGTCGTCATGGGATTTAGTCATCAAGTAGATGGTAACTGGGCTGAAAGTATCCTAATTGGTGCTGTCTGTTTACAACCTTACATGCAACCTACTCGCTACCTTTCGGGATTCTTCAAGTACGTAGGGATTAGGACTAGGAAGGTTGGCGTGCACCCATGCACTGGGAGCTACTGCATCCCTCGGACATGACAAGGTCTGTATGTAGGATACCCGTCGGACCTTACTCCAGAAGCGCGTTCGAGCAGATGAAGAAAAAAGGTATACCTGTGGCCGCTAGACCACTCACTAAATCTTCAGTTCAGCATCCCTAGTAGAATAATCATGAAATTCTCAAAAATCCCCTCTGGCAGAGCAAACCAAGCAAGCTTCGCCGTTCAAAGTAAAGCATCGCCCACGCCCTCAACCCTCAACCTTAAACCTGAAACCGAAGCACTACCAAAACCCTAAACCCTCGAACATCAGAGCATTACTAATGCTATATGAATTTTAATATTACAGTGATTGTAATTATTTAAGTATTAGCAATCATACTAAGAATACATTAAACAAAGTCCTCAACCCTGAGCCCTCAGCCCTAAACCGCTAAACCTTAAACCCTGAACCCCATTTATAGACCCTAAACCTTAAACCCTCAACCCGGTTTATACACCCTAAACCTTACACCCTACCCTAATGCTCCTGGACCCTCGTAGTGAGATCCCAAACCTTAGCCCCCAAAGCCCAAACCCTTCTTCCAGAAAGCCCAAGACCCTCTTAGGAGCCTTAGGGTAAGTACTAAGCCCCAGGATCCTTAAAGTAGACCCTAAAATCCCTCTTATAGATCCCCTTTTAAGGAACCCTAGTTACCCTCTTAGGAGCCTTAGGGTAAGCCCTTTGTTGACCCCTAAACCCCTACAACCTGAAACCCTCGCGCCCTGGCCCTCAGCCTCAGACCTTTCTGTATGTTTTGGGTTTAGGGTTTAGGGTTTCGGGTTTAGGGTTTAGGGTTCAAGGTTTAAGGTTCAGGGTTTAAGGTTTATTGTTCAGCTGACGAGAGGCAAACCGGAGCTAGACTCGAAGAGGTCGCGTTCGAGCTGCGTCCACTGCACCGAATCCTCGCAGGTTTAGGGGTTAGGGTTTAGGGGTTTAGGGTTTAGGGGTTATGGCTTACCCTAGGAATCCAACGACTCATATAGGGTTCCTTTAAAGTGATCTATAAGGGGTCCTTTAAAGGGATCTATAGGGATTTAGGGATCTAAGGACTCAGATATTAAGGCTTTTGGGCCCAAAGACCATACTATATATGGCTTTTGGGCTTTAGGCCCACTGTACCGAATCCTCCCAACGACAATGGCCACCTAGCGGTTTTTGCAGATCAGGTGTAATACAGTCAAGGTTCTATGGTTAAGGCTGCTTGAAGGAGGTTAAGGCGCAGAATACTCTACAAGCTTACTTCAGGTTCTGCATTGGGTTAAACGGCCTAAGTTCTTCTCTGTTTCAGCACCTAGCGTGGAGTTGTGTTCAACAGGATCACAAGAGGCACATGCTTCTTAGGAATATCTTGAGGCGTTTACCATCCTCGCTGTGGTACTCGTCGCCAAAACAAGACACCTCGTCCTCGCCGACATCGCCACTTGCCTTCTTGTCATCACTGCGGCTTGCCTTGAGCCACTTCCTCGGATTCTTTGCCTTGAACCACTTGCTCGGTTTCATTGCCTCGCCGTGGTACTTGCTGCCATGTGGCTTTTTGCGTTCACGTGCCTCACGGCGCCTCAACTCCCTCGAACCTCTGGCTCTCGAAGCTTCGAACAGCTTGTGTTGATGAGCCCAAAATTCCATGGAACGACGCTCCTCCTGCTTTTCTTGCCGAAAAAAGTCCTTCGTGGCTAAGAAACCGAGGACGGCCGAACGGGTATTCTGCCATGGCTAGCTTTGGGCCCTCGCCGAAAGCATCCGGTGGCGGCCGCTGCTGCTGACTTCTTTCGGTCCAGCATACTTACGATAGCGCGAACCTACCAGTTCAGATATGACAGATGCAGGGCTTGGGATTACTTGGAGGATCATGGGACTTAGCAAGTATGGTTATAAGTACCTTAGTTGGGGATATAAGTAACTATATAAGTATAGTTACCCCAGTAATAATCCTAGTTACTAAGTCCTATGATCCTTTAAGTAGCTTGATGCAGAGCCAATGACGGCGGACATGTTGCTTTCTGCTGGCAAACTTAGGAGGCTTCGGCTGGCTATGTCATTGGTAGACCCTCGACCCTACTTGGAGGGGCAGCGGACTTAGTAAGTAGGTTATACGTACAGTTATAAGTACCCTATATGGAGTTACCCCAATTACAGCCGTACTTATAACCTACTTACTAAGCCCCCTGCCGCCCCCCCAAGTAAACAATCAACCCTGTACTGAACTGGATATCCAAACCGCAAACCCCAAGCAGGGCCTATGCTTCAACCTGTGAGAGCCAACTAAGGTGACGAAAACAAAGGCAAAAGCCTTTCGACACCCTCTACACCCTCTATACACCGAACCCTGCACCAACTGCTGAAACCCCTCAGGCCGAGAGTAAATGATCGGTCCGAGCGAATGTGGCAGCGTTTGCTTGGCGTGCGTGGATGGGACCTCTGGGATGAATGACTTTTGGAGCTTGGGGTTGAGGGTTTAGGGTTGAGGGTTCTCCGACAAGGGTTGTTCTATTTGGCAGCTACACACACTCCTCCACCCCCATACCCTAGTGACTTCCTTGAAGATGGTCCCTTCAGCCAATCCGTCTAGTCTTCGTTTTGGACTTATACAAACTAAGATGACTCAATGTTGGCCCGTGGCTCACCCAAACGATCGTTGAGGGTTTTGGGACTAGGGTAGCTACATGTAGTTACATCATACATAGTACAATATGGGGCTTCTGTAGTCCAAGCTCTATACAAGTATCTCCTGCCTGTGTACTTACCTGTTGGGGCTAGCACAGTAGTTTTGTAAGCTGGTATGTTTATTCAACCCTAAACCCTAAACCCTTTATTCGGCACTTGGAACCTGAGGATCGTTTGGGTGAAGAGCTTGGGGGCCAGACTCTCAAAACCGCAGGTCTGGGGCACCCGAAACCCCAAACTCTACCTGCACCCAAACCATACAGACCCTAAAGCCTACCCTATTCCCCGAACCTTAAACCCTAAACCCTCAACCGCCAGGCTTAGCAGTGACGCTACGTAGAAACAATAAAGACCTTGGAAAAAGCACCGAAACCCCAAAGCCCTAAACAGCCCTAACAGCCCTAAAAGCCCTAAAAACCACTAAAAAGCCCTAAAAGCCCGAAAAAGCCCTAAAAGCCATAAATCCCCTAAACCCTAAACCCTAAAAGCCCTAAATGCCCTAAACAGCCCTAAACAGCCGTAAAAACCCTAAGAGCCCTAAAAACCAAAACTGCAGGGAAGGCGACGACTTGGAAGCCGTGGTCGGCGGTGTCGGGGCCGCCGATGCCACAGGACTCATGGCCCCGCTTGACAGGCCTTCCGGGATTTCGGGCTTAGGGTTTAGGGTTATCTCTTTAGAACCCTTATAGATCCCTTTATAGAACCCTTATCGACCCCTTTAAGGTGCTAAGGGTTATAATGGCCCCGCTTGACAGGCCTTCCGGGTTTTGCAAAATAGGGGACCCTATTAAAGGACCCCGGGCCCCAAGATAATAAGACACCCCTTATTTTCGGAAATTCCCGTTTAGGGGCTAAGGGTTACGGTGGCCTTCCGTTTGAAAAATGCGCTGGGGATCAAAACAGCCCAATAATCTTATTTAGTATGGTCTTTATTTAGGGGCTAAGGGCTATAATGGCCCCGTTAGACAAGCCTTCCGGGATTTGCAAAATAGGGTTTAGGATTTAGGGTTTAGGGATTATAGGGTTTAGCTGGAAGGATTTAGGGGCTAAGGGTTATAATGGCCCCGCTAGACAGGCCTTCCGGGATTTGAAAAATAGGGGACCCGATTATAAGGACCCAAAATAACAAGGTACCCTAATTTTCGGAAACTTAGGGGCTAAGGGTTACGCTCCGGGAATTGAAGAAAATAGGGGACCCATTAGAAGGACTAAGACACCCCTAATTTTCGGAAGTTTTGCAAATAGGGGACCCTACTATAGTACCCTAAATAGTAGGATCCTTATTATGAAGACCCCAAAATAATAAGGTCTTTAGAGGGCTTTCTTAAGAGTTGTATTGTGTTCAGGATTTGGGGATTTCCGAAAATAGGGGACCCTAATATAGTACCCCTACATAGTAGAATCCTGATTATAAGGACCCCAAAATAGAGTGCCCCTAATTTTCGGAAACTACCATTTAGGGGCTAAGGGCTACGATGCCTAGGAATTTAAGGGATCAGAAGGTCCTTGTAGAGTTGAGCGTTTACCCTAAGGCTCCTAAGGGGATGATGGGCTTTCTGTGGGGAGGCTTTGGGCTTTGGGGGCTAAGGTTTGGAATCCCCTTACGAGGGTCCAGGAGCCTTAAGTGGTCAAAGTTATGGTCCCTTTTGCTGTACTTATTATAACAAGGCACCTAATATTTAGGGTACCCAAAAAGGGGCCAGAATTTTGACAACTACCCACTGGTGTCTAAAGATGGTCCCTGAAGCCCCCCGAAGCCCAGGAAAAAAAAGCCCTAAACCCTCATCCCTAACCCGGAAGCCCCAAACCCCAATCCTGAAACCCTCCCTGAGCCCTGAAGAATCTAGCATTCTAAAGATTTTCATAAGGAAATCTTAATAATGTAGGTTCCCTAGGGTCCTAAGAACATAAAACCCGGGTGCCTGAGAACACGAAACCCTAAACCCTATAATCCTTAAGACGGAAACCCAAAGCCCTAAACCATAATCCTTAAACCCTCGACTCTAAGAACGTAAAGTCCTAAACCGTAAGCCTTAAACCCTCGACCCTAAGAGCTTAAAGCACCAACACCTTAAATCCTTAAACGTCGACCCTGAGAATTTAAAGCCCTAAACCTTAATCCATAAAACCCGGATGCCTTTCAGCTTGGACAGTTATTCTTCCCTTTAAAGGGGCCTTTAAGGGCTCTATTCTTTCCTTTAAGGAGGCCTTTAAGGGTTCTCTTCTTCCCTTTGAAGATGCCTCCTGGCCTTTAAAAGAACCCTAAGCCCTAAACCCTAAGCCCTAAACCCTAAGCCCTAAACCCTAAGCCCTAAAACCCGGATGCCTTTCAGCTTGGACAGTGGGGAGGAGGATGGAGCCGGCCCCTGGTCAGCTGGCGTCTGCCGGACCTGAGGACGAGGCTTTGGGGTTCCTTAAATAGGGTCTGAGGAGATTCAATGGGTTTGGGAGAGTTTCTTTAGTTTAGGGTTTAGGGTTTAGGGTTTAGGGGAGATTCATGGGGTTTGGGAGAGTTTTTGAGTATAGTTTAGGGTTCTTTATAGGATTTAGGGTTTAGCGGGTTTAGAGTTGCATAGGGCTTGTTTTTTGGGTTGGTGCTTAGCTTTGTTTGCTGTTGTTGTTTTTTTTCGCGGGGCTGGGTATTGGGATGCAAGGTTGAAGGTATTAAGGTCAATTACATTCGAGGGCTCAGTTCGCGGTTTAGGGGCGAGCTTGTGTTCTCCTGGTGGAACCTATAATGTCACCCGCTGATTGACAAATTCCTTTGCGTCCAACAAAGCTTTAGAACTAAACCCTAAACCCTTTTTTGGAGTCCTGCAATAAAAGGAAGTCTGTGTAAACCTTCGCATTGGAGCGTAGACCACAAAGTTGACGCAGTTTAAAGCTTCAGGAGTTTAGCTGTTGGGAACTTGAAATCCGTTCGGGGATTGACAAATCTATCCAAACCCCAACAGAAAGGTTCAGGGCTTGTCTAGTGTCATTCGGGCCAAGATAGGGCTAAACAACCCCAAGTCATAGACACTTAAAGAACCCATGTTGAACCCTCGATGCTATAGGGGGGATCAAAGGACTTAGCAAGTATGGTTGTAAGTACGTTAATTTGGGCTATAAGTAGTTCTCAGTAAACAACAAGATCCCCCCCCCAATAATTACCGTAGCTACTCATTCCTGTGATCCTCTAAGTAAGCAAATTGGCAGGGCCAAGTGAGGGGCTCAAGGGACATCAGCGGCTGGGGTTTAGGGTTTACTCTTGGTGTAGGGGGTTGTCGAACCGGTCACTCACTCGCTGTACAGGTAGGCTGACTTCCAGCGAAAGGACATGCACGACTGTCAGTGCGACGAAGCATAAACCCTGAACGCTAAATCCTACAGTTCATGAACACTGTCAAACATCCTGAAGTGGCTTGGGGAACAGTCCTTACTTGGCAAAGGGAATTCGGATTGTCTAAAGTCTAAGCAGAAATGCGCAATGCCACAAGAACCTCACAAAGCGACTGCAAGGTTGAGCATTTATAATGTCTAGGATACCCAGTAACCTAAGAACAAAAAGGCCTCTCTTTTTGGTATTGGGTAACTTTATAAGGAACCTAGGACTACAAAAAGGGAATAAGGGTACTACTGGGCATCCTGTATAATGTAGAATAGGGCTTCGTGTCACCTTACTCATGCCTGCCAATCGGCCCTGCCAAGCTTGGGCGACGTTTTGCGAAAGATTCCGGTTCCTTTCCCAAAGGACTAAACCCTAAACTTAAGCCCCCAAGCCACTAAGCCCGAAACCCTAGAGCTATTTCGAGACGAGCGACCGGTTCGGGGAGCATGCGTGTGGCGATTGGCGAGTCCGTCTTCGCTTCGGTACCTGAGGTATCTAAGGTTTAGGGGTTCAGGGTGTGTTTTTTTGTGGGCTCTTTTTCGTCTGCACACGGGGTCGAAACTCCCGAAATCTTTAAACTCCAAATCCAAAAAGACGCGGCCCTATTCTAAATGCTCAAGTCAATGAAAATGACACCTCTGAAAAAGGTATCCGGTTGAACCCGGTCCCCGGCCGGCTCATTCTCTCTCTCTCTCTCTCTCTCTCTTTCGCTCGCTCTCCTCTCTCGCGCTCTCCGTGTGGGTTTAGGGGTTTGTTGATGAGCTTTAGGCACTTCAGGGTTTGAGTTTTGTCGTGGTGAACATTACATAGAACCCACAAAGCTACCGGAATCCTTCCTTCATGTCAATCCTGACTGATAGGGGCCACAATACAACCCCTGCACCGAATAACTACGTTGAGCGGACTGCTGCGAGGCCCACAGGTTGTGTCTCAGACGGATTTCACAGAGCTTCATTGCTTAGCGAAATCTGAACCATAAACCTTAATCCCGGAACCAAACATTAATTCAATCCTTAGGGCCCCTAAACCATGATCCCTACACCCACAGACAGACCTAGTAGTTCCCTATCACCAGAGAAGCGACCTTCATTCACAGCAGGCTTGTAGATATTCCAAAAAATCAAAAACTACCTGATCCTCCATGCTGCCCTTAAACCCACACACGCTTAGCAACCTTATAGACCTTTGAACGAGCTTTTTACGGAACCCGCAAAGGAACCCCTGCAGCTACCCTTAACGAAACCCTATGACAATACAAAAACCCTCCAAGGAACCCTGAAAGAATGCCGGAAGAAACCCTAAGACATCTACGGGGCTAGTAGTGCTTGAGGAGGAACGGATCATCACTGTCAGCATTCGTCTACTGGGTCCCTGCACTGCCACTTGCTCCCTGTGTCGTGCGCTCCTTGGCCTCACACATGCTCGTCGGACCTGGCACAGTGGATGTCGTGCCCACTTTGGTCGGGGCGCTCGGCGCTGGGCTTCATGGATCGGCATCGCTCTCCTGCCAAGCTCTGCTCACGGGACATGGAGCGGCGTCCCCAATCCTGGCAGTCTAAACGAAAAAGACGCTTCAATTGGCATCATCCCTGCTTCCAAGGACAAGATACTCTAAACCAACGGCCAGGTGATTGTTCAGAAGCAGCTCTGTTGTGATGTTAAGGATGGTGGTCTCCACGATCACGGCTTGATGCGCGCGTTCGGCACCCACGTGACCATTCGTGAATTCAAGCACGCAGCCGCCACGCATGGGGGAGCTGACGGGGTGTCCGTCAAGATCACAGTCTGCTTCGGCTCGCCAACTGCATTGAAAATTGTCTGCAAAACTGCTCACATCCCAAAGGAACGATTGAAATTGCTCTACACGAAACCCCATAACTCTGCCACCCTGCAAGCATGCTAATCCATCCCAACGAACGAGAATCCTTACCAAGACCGGTGAGCGCTATCGATCCCTGTGAACGGGACAAAGAACCTTTAAAGAAGCCTCAACGGAATCCACTACAACCCCTTTAAGCCCGCGAAGGAACCCTATACAACCCTGTCACCCTATAAAGCCCGAAAAGACACCGTCATGAAACCCTGCTAAATTGAAACTCTACCACAGAACGTGAACGGCCCAATCAAACTCGCTCACAGTAATATAGGGGCCTCAATAATATTTTTCTATAATTACAAATATATATATATATATATATATATATATATATATATTAAACAACCGTCGCAAAAGTATTGGTATTTATTTAGGCCCCTAGGGAACCGTCCCCTTTATAGTACCCTTACAGTATAGATAAAAGAAGCCGTACAACAAGCCTTCAAAGGAATGTTATAGAACCCCCCAAAACCCTTTACGGGAACGCAGAAAACCAAGAACACTAAACCTTAAATCCTAAGCCTGAAACTGAAACCCTAAAACCCTCTGAACCCTGACCCAAAAAGCCCTGAAATTCTAAGATCTGAGCGGTCCTTGAAGAGCCTTAAACGGAACCCGTTTGGAACCCCTCTTCAGCCCCCATTAGATCCTATAAACCCTCAACCCCGAACCCGAACACCCCAAGACCCTAATCAAGAACCCTAACTTCAAGGAACCCTTAAAACAACCCGTAGATCCCACACCCTGCAAACCCTAAACCCCTTAAACAAAAAAACGCACACACACCTTAGAGCCAACCCTAAACCCTTTAAACAAAAAACAAGAAACACCATAGAGCCGAGGGGCTCAGCTCCGACAGGGACACCTCCGAGGACTTCGAGGGCAACGTGGGCGAAACGGAGAGCACGTTCGCCGGGAGCGCGGTGGCCTGGGTCGGGGATTTCGGGTTCCTTTATATAAGGGACCCTAAGGGTCCATGTACCCAAATAGGGATCCTTTAAGGGGTTCCTTTAAGGGCTCTTAGACTCTTAGGGTTCCTATAAGGGTACCATGAAGGTTTAGGATTTCTGTTGCCTCAGGGCTTTAATAATGCCAAGAGCGAGGGCTAGTGATAAGGCTTGACTGGCGCTTCGGGAATTTGGAACACGAAGGCAGTAGTTGTTGATAAAACAATTACGGGAACCCTTAAAAGAACCGCTACAGTAAGCTTTATATCGAGCCCTCCAGCAATTAGAGTTGTGCGGTGTAGATTCGCCAGCCTGCAATGACATAACCCACTGCCTCGGCACGTGCATACATACTATCATACTACATACAAATCATAAGCCCATGCATATTCATTCATGCATTCATTCTTCCCTTCATTGATTCCTTCATTCCTTCATTCGTTCATATATATATATATATATATACATGTAGAATACACGCCTATGTGCCCACACGTATAGCCAAATAAACCAGTCTGTAACTTCGAGTCCACAAACCCGCAACCCACGAGTCTCGCAAGCAGGTGATGCCGACCCCTCAATCCTAAACGATATAAACCCTAAGCCCCAACAACCCAAACCCGAAACCTACAACCCCCATCTAAATCCCTACACCCTAGACTCAAAACACCCTACACGCTAAACCTCTCGACCCTGAACCCTACGGCCCTACCACATCCTGGCCTTGGGCACGGCCGCAGTCGTGTAGTTCGGATAAGGCGCCGTGTAGGGGACCGGGCGCCAGTTTGTCGCAGGCACTGCACCCGCCTTAAGCAGGAGGTGGAGGTTTCATGAAATGGATATAGATATAGGGGCTTTGGGCTTAGGGTTTAGGGGTGATACAGGGGCTTTGGGTTAAGAGATTACGGCTGAGTCAGTTGATGGTTCACTGGCAGTTAGAACTAGAAGGTCACAAGTACCTCACGCGGGGCCTGATTTGGGCTCTGAGCGGCGAGCCTCTAGCCCTAAAGCCAAAATTTCAGCCTCCAAGAAAGGCTTTGTTGAGCCGAGCTTATAAGTAAACCCAGGGAAAACGTATAAACTTGTATTTCACCTACCCCTAAACTCTAACTACGCCCTAAACCCCAAACCCGAAACCGAAAACCTCCAAACCCTTGACCACTAATCCCTAAAGCCTTAACCCCCAAACACGAAACCTCAAAACCTCGGCTGGAAAACCGGACCCGACGCCCCAAATCCTACCCCACACCCCTAATTGCGGCTCTCAAAAACTTGAAAAGTTTAAGGGTTTAGGGTTCAGGGCTTAAAGGCTTAGGGTTCTTGTGCTAAGCAGCACTAAGGTAGTACAGAGATTGATCTTCCGACCCCTACCTTAACCCCTCCTGATTTCCTGAAAGCTAAACAGGACACCCCTACTTGGCGGGTCACGGGCCTTCGTAAGTAGGCTTTACTTAGTTGCTGAGTTCATATAAGCCCCCAAAAGTGTACACTTTCAGTTTTATGGGGGGGGGGGTAATATTAGCCCAAAAAATGTACATAAAGTGTATCCACTCAGCTACTAAGTCTAAGCAGGCTTTTCAGCCATTTAAAGTACTGATACCCCGCCTAGTTTTAACTGGGCTTTTAAGTAACCAGGGAGAAAAAGTATAAACTTGTATTTCATAACGGTTCCATTAAGAAAAAAGAATTAAAGTATGGTACTCCAAAGCCCAGTTAACCCACTTACAGAGCCCATGCTCCTCCCACAAATTCCTAAATGCTTGACTAAACCGAAACCGGAGAACCGAAACCCGAAACTGATGCCTCTCTTTTTGGTATTGGGTAACTTTATAAGGAACCTAGGACTACAAAAAGGGAATAAGGGTACTACCGGGCATCCTAGTGATAAACCCTAAACCCCAAACCCTAAACCCTGGCACAAAAACGACACATACTCTCGTTTACCTGTGAACCCAGACCCCCTGCTCTCTCCGGAGAGTGCAAACTTTTCCGTTTAGACCAGGCACAGAAGCCGAGAGCGTAGCTTTTTAGAGCTGAGGGTTTAGGGTTCAGCTGTATAAGGTTCAAGGATTCCGATGTGTAGCGCTTAGGGTTCAACGAAAGAAAATCCCTAAACCCTAAACATCCCTAAAGCCTCAACTCTGGAAGCCGTGCCTTTGGCGGGGATGCAGGTGTCACGATGCTCCCAGCGGGCCTTGGCTATACAAAGCATTTTTTTCGGTGGATTCGGTTCCACGGTGTAGGGTTTAATTCGGGGTTTATGGTATCGGGCTCTGGAACGTGGTGTCGGGCTCTGGAACGAAGCCGTTTCTTACAATTAGGAACAGGATGTTCCTGTTGAGCTTTCTTGGGTTGTACTAGATTTTCAAAGGCATTCTTGGATTGCCACTATAGGGCGAAGGGCTTGATACAAGGACCCTACTTCCAGCCTGAGGTCCTGCCACGACCACAGGATCACTTCTAGCCGGGTTCTCTTCCTACGTATTCCTGGCTACTGAAGTAGGGTTTAGGGGTTAGGGTTTAGGGTTACCTCCCCCAACACAACGCACTCACAACTGAAAACAGTAACTATGCTCTTAATGACCCCTGGGGCTTCTACTGTAAACAGATTCTATGAATGATGAAAAACAAACACACACACACACACATACACTCAAGGTAATCTCTGGAGTACGGTTAATAGGAAAAACCCGGAAACTGAAGACTGATGTAAGTATGCTGCGACCCCAACTTCGGAGAAACAACGTAGTAGTATACTCTCCTTGCTCAGTGCTTCCTGCGTAGGGCTCAGGGTTGAGATGCGGTATGCGTGGTGTGGTCTTCCGATGCGCGGGGCTGTTGAGGGAGCTGGTGCAGGAAGAGAATGTCGCATCATGGCTCTCAATGATGGGAGGCCAAAAGGGAGGTTTAAGATCCTGGGGTTTTGGATTCCTTAATATGAACCCTATTATGGGAAATCTGATCCCTACTAAACCCTCACAGGCTAAAACCCGTTTTGGCCTCCCATGTCTCAAAGGGGCGGTAAACAGAACAACTGGTTATATAATGCACTACCGACTGCAAGGGAGACTTAAGCCGCAGAAGCGCTTCTGGTGGTCCTTGCAGTGTTGCTGTTCGATGTTTGTTTGTGAACCCTAATAAAGCCATCAACCCAACTACAAAACTCACTGCATTGCCGGGGGGCAGGACCACCCTTGTGGAAGGTACGACATAAGGCACAGACCTTGGGCGAAACCCGCTGCTTTCGATTTTGGAGTTTAAGCAGTTCATGCATGAGGTCATGGCCTGGTTTGCTGCGAGACTACAAGAAAGCTCACTGGCATGCAAACTCTAGCTATCTACCAAACGCAAAGCTGAAAGGCTGTCATCAGCATCAACTTCAACCCTAAACCCCAACACAATGCTACAACCTTCATGCTGCGGTTCCTTATGTCGGTAGCCTGATATAGGGGCCTTGACAGCTAGAATGGGGATTTAGTGTTGATGTCCTGTATATATATAGGAACCAGAGGAATAGTTTTTGTAATTATCTAGGCTGCACTTCTGTGTAATTTCTACTTAAGCCCTTAACCCCTAAACTTCAAACCCTATGCATAAAGAAGGGCTGCCTTTCGACGACCTGCCCTTTTGTATCCCGAGCCGCTGCCTGCAGCTCGATAAGCCCTACACGCTTTAGGGTTCACGGTTTAGAGTCTACACTTTCGCAAGGCAAGATTAGATGATCTTTTTCAGGAGTCCTGCAGGGTTTACAGCAGGGCTTGGGGTATAAACTCTACACTTTCAAAAATTTTCCGATAGGAACGATCTCTAACAGTATTTGAGGACTTTGCTTTGAGTTGTTGAAGGATCTTTTCCATACAAAGAGACCAGGATAGAAGAAACCCTGAAAATCGTAGGGTTTCCGAGGCCTGCAAGGTAAACGCGCGCAAAGTCCACTGTATGGAGATGTTGAGTTGGGTTAAGGGTTTAGGGTTCGCGGATAGTCGTGCTTCCGCTCCTTTAGCACACACGCTTTACCCAGATTCGATGTGGTCGTTAAGCCCCTTAAACGCACAATAAATGCGGTTAATAGAAGAAACACTCCTAGGGAACATGCAGTGGACCAAACTAACGAGAGACCACTCAAGGTGAGAAGCCTTTCTGCGGTTAGAGGCTTAGGGTGCTAGGTTCAAGGTTTAGGGAAGACGAGAAGAACTTCAAATGTAAACCCTGGAATACAAGTTCTTAAAGCCTTTGGGGTCAGGGGTGGGGCCTCTTCAGCCCTGACGCCCAGAATCGCCCCAGATGAGCCTACAGCTATACTGACCCATCCAGCCCAGCCCAGCAAACCTACACCCCAGAAGCGCTGAAAAACCCTAAGCTGCAACACGAAATCCTGCCAAACCCTAAGCTCCACCTTCACCCCCAAAGTGAAAACCCTAATACTTCGAAGACCAAGAGGCGTTCCATGAACAATGCTCCTCGGCCGGTACTTGGAGGGATTTGAATGGCTCATAAGCTTTAAGCCTGACTTATATAGGATAGGGAAGACGCGATTTTTCAGTATTGAAACGCTTCTGGTGGGGCTTTTGAGCCTAAAAAGATTGATGGTTGATTTAATTTATAGGGGTTCATAGTATGAGGGTATAGGGGCCCCTGCTTGCAAGGGATATGTGATCCCTACGGCAGGTAGACCTGAGACCTTGTAGTCTCTGCCTGTGACCTTAAACCCTCCCTAAACCCTAAACCCGAAACCCTAATCCCTCAGCCTGAACCCCAAATTACGCCCACCTAAACCCGAAACCTACACCCTGCTCGCCCAACCCCCTACAGTAAACCCCTACCTCGAGCGATCCAAACTTACCTTTTTCGTTGGGTCCCTATATATTTACCAAGAGAACCTAGAAAAAAGGTAGGGTTTGGTAGTTGAGAGCAAAGCCTAAACAACCTTCGACCCAAACCCAGAACTTACTTCCCCAATAGGGCACGGACATGAAAGGTTAAACTTTCCGATTACTAAGCTACAAAAACCCGAGAAGTTTAGAGGCCGGCTCTTGGGGAAACCCTAAGGGTCCAACTACAAAAATGGTGGGGTTTCAAGGTGGGGGGGTTCCATTGTATTTTGTATAGTATACCCAGAACCCCATTCCATTATTAAGGTCCCTAAATTGGGGATAGTTACGGTTAGATGCAAAAACCATTCAGGGTATGGATTTTGGGACCTGAAACCCTACTATTGGGTACTTGGACCCTCTGGGGAACTACGGCTGATGATGTAAATCCTGCATTACCTTAAGGACCCTATGGGAATTATGGCATATTCCTAATTATGGGTGATGCAGGATTTACATCATCAACCGTAACAGAACCAAAGGAGGCGAAGCGCGCGCCCTGCCCGGGAGGCAGCTGCATGGATCGCCCCGCCGTCGCTGGAGGAGGCGAAGGGCTCAAAGGTGGTGGCGACGGCATGACTCTAGCAGCCCCAAAAGCCTAAATACCCCTAGCCTAAATAGATCACCAACACTAAAACCCCAAACTCTAGAGACTCTAGAATTCAAGGACCCAACTACACACCTCAGATACTAAAAATCACCAGAAAGTGCAAAGATCTGAGACCGACTCACTCTCTTGAGAGGAAGAAAATGTCTGTGCCGGTTTTGTGGGTGGTCGGTATCCCTAATCCTGAACCCTAAATCCTAAACCGGTTTCTCTTCCCGTTTTCCCAGTTCTATGCATTGTGGGACAAGCCTGTGATACAAATCTGCTCTCGACGGTGCGGCTTTAAATACGACTAGCGGATTAAATTCAGAAGCTTGCGGCCCTACACTATGTTGTTCTTCAGGGTCTGCATTCGTGAACCGAAACGGCGTGCACCAAGCAGAGGATCACAAGGCAAACGAGTCGCAATTTAGTGTGCAATGTTGCTTGATAACCCGTGCGACTGCCTCAGGTTGTTCGAAGCGCCCATATTGGGTCTACCATACACCATAGAGACCCAAACAATCCTGAACCCGGACTCCTGAACCCGGAAGCCTCCACCGCAAACATACGCCTGAAACCTCATGGCAACCTTTAGTGACTCAAGAGCCCAGTAAGAATGACACCCTACATCCTGCAGAAGCGTCTGTGAAGCCAAGGTCACTCTACATCATTGGTAAACAGCAACTACAGGTGTGCATGTGTGTATAGACATAAGCATACTGAACATTGCGCATAAACAGATGTACATATACATGTGCACATATGCGTATCCACATATACATATACATAGACATGCATATGTGTAATATATATATATATATATATATATATATATATATATATATATATATACATATACATATACATATGCATACATACGTTCATACAAATTTACAAATTTATACGGGTATGTGTATATATATATATATATGTATATATGGATGTGTGCGTAAACAGAAAACAACACACACACATGATAAATGCATGAATAGGTTAAGTCAGACATTAAACACGAGTATGAATGTGTATGCATATATATATATAGCTGTAAACAGTACATAAAGAGCTAGAAAGATAGATAGTTAGGTAGACAGGTGGATGAGTAGGTACGTCGGTAGATATTCGAACCCCGGCATATTCCAGTGGAATCAATCATTATTGCTGCAGCCGTACCCTGTCAACTAAGAAAACTTTCTCAACATGAGGCAAGCAAGCACTGCTCCACCCTGTTGCAATATGGAAATGGACCTGGTCAACGGATCCTGGCAGGTTTCAGGTTGGGCGGATGTTTACTCTTGGGAGAACAGAAAATCGACCCCAGTTTAGAACCAAACTCGATTTTTGAACCCTGCGGTAATAACCCGGTAAGGGCTTCAAGTGAATTTAGACATAAGCTTATGAAGGCTCGGCAAGAGCCCGGATAGGCCTGAAGACTCCACTGCCCTAAAGCCGCAGCCCTGAAGGGTTCATGCGGGTAGTTGTCAAAATTAGGATCAAATTTTGGGTACCCTAAAAAAGCAGGCGCCGTAATATATATTAGGCACCCAAAAAGGGACCATAGTTTTGACAGCCACCCATGCGACAACATAGGGCTTCAGATTATAAGGGTGTATTGCCCCACCTTTGAATTTCAAGTGGTTCTGAAGGTAGGCTACACCGAGAAGCGGTGAAGGCCCCAAGTGGACCTGCTGCTGAAGAGCTGCTTGAAGGGGTATCCTGCACATGGCAGGGTTTAGAGTTAGTGGAGCAGCTGCATTAGGGAACAAACCAGACCCCGAATTCAAAACCATAAATCCTAACCTCTAAACACTAAGCTCCAAACTCGCAAAGCTTGTGCCAGGGGCCGTCATAAAGAAACCTATCGTATGGTTTGTTGTATCAGCTCTGAAGGCAGCAGCGTGAAAACATATCCATAACTGGCACACTTTCCGTCGGGTCCAACGAACCAGACGAGTAGGCACTCGGGTTTAGGATAGTGGCTTTCCAGGCTATAATTGGGTAGAGGATTGAATGGTGATTAAGCCTTTTTTCAACTTCTCATACGGATCCCAAAGTGCGACCTATGCAACCATAAAATGTAAACCCAAACACTTAAACTCCAAACCCCAAGTGCGCCAAAAAGCTAGATTGTCCAAAGCCTACTAGCTCACAAACTATGCATCTTTCCTGTATCTATACTCGCATCTATACCAAAACCCGACTACTAGAAAGCTCACATATACATGCATGCATACATCAGATTCATACGTGCAAACAGACAGACATACCTACATACATGCACACATGTATATCATTTGACACCTCTCTTCTTCAACAGCCGGGCCACACAAAGTTCAAACTTTCTGAGATAGAGCTAATATATAAAGCCCAAAAGTTTAAAGCTCCCCCGTTCACTATCTAAGGCACTTCTACTGGTATTAAGCAATTACAAGTATAGTACCCTTATAGTAACCCTTATCGACTCCTTAAATGGAGCCCTTTTCTAGTTATTAAGGCCGAACCATATAGGCACTTTGGACCCTTTGGGTAAGCCAAAAGGTGGGAGGAAGGTAGGTAGGATTAAGGATCCCCTATATGAGGACTCTTAATTGTGAATTACCCCACCTACCTTCATCCTACCTTTCGAGGCCCCGGAAAACCAATCATCCCTATAATGGGCTATATCATGGGTATATAATAGCTACGTATATCAAAGCTATATACCTACTGGTCCTTTTTAAGGGTCCCTCCTTTTATCCTTGAGTTACTCCTACCTGGACACCAAGTCAGTAACCCTAAACCCTGAGCCCTAAACCCTTAAAATAACCCTAAACCCCAAGCCCTAAACCCTGAGCCCTGAACCCTAAACCTTGGAAACATTAATGGAGCGGAGAGGCAGAGCGCGGCCCAAGGTGAGCCGGGCCGCCGACTGCAGACAGCGCCTCAAAGAAAGGGAGAGGCGGGCTGCTGCTTAGGGTTTAGGGTTTAGGGGTTAGGGTTACGGTTTAGGGCTTTGGGTTTAGGGTTTAGGGCTTAGGGACCAAATGACCCTGAGAAGAAGTAGGGGGCCCTATACCCTTATGCTATAGCCCTTACTTGGAGGTTCATGGGTAGTTATAAGTAGGGCACATAAGTAGGACTTGTAGGGTTTTAGGGTTCGGGCCAACCCTAAACTCTAAACCCCAAAGGGAAAGTTAGCAGGGTTTAGGATTTAGGGTTTGGGGCCCTGAAATGGTATGGAATAGAACCCGGGCTCGTCTTCTGGCACCGAGACCCATAAGGCCTGGAGAGTTGGTTACCAAGCTGCCCAGAGACTCCAATATCCCATAATTAAGGAATATTCCTTAAATTATGGTAGGATCCCTTATATGATTTAAGGTATATTCCTTAATTAAGGGATATTGGAGTCTCTGGGTGACAGGACGTTAGGTGTGCGAGCTTGTGGAGTTAGATCTGCCATACCCTGCCAGGCGATGTGGAGTAGCGTAGGGAGCCGGGGGTATGGAGTTCTGCATCCCCTAGAAAGGGCACTTCAACTAACCAGTGGTTTTGGGGTTCCTTTGGCTCTTTAGCTCCTTATTTAATAGGGATTATCATCATCCCTGGCTCCTTATCTCCTCCAATACCAATGGATAGTCAAGATTCTAGTAGCCCAATGTAGGAACCTGATTAAGAAACCCTGGCCCTCTAACCACCAATATGTTAGCATTCATATAAGGAACCCTCAGAAAGACCCTGGGTTTCGTAATCAGGTTCCTACATCACCAAGGTTGCAAAGAAGGCAGCAATAACCCTAGTGTGGATGATATAATTTCCTGCATTACTATAAGGATCCCAGACTAAGGCGACAAAGGGAACTATATGTTATATTCCGGATTATGACTAACGCAGGCTTTATATCATCAACCGTAAAACCCTAAACCCTATAGCCCTTTAGATCCCTTAGAGGATCCCCTTGAAGGTACCCTTATCAACCCTTTGTCACAGAAGGCTCGGCTCGTCGCTGGGTGCTCTTACCAGATGTTTGGGTTCTTACAGGTTCTTGGGACTTAGTCATTGCGGTTATTAGTGAGGTAACTACACTGATAATTACTCATATCCCCAATGAAGGTACTTAACACCATACTTACTAAGTCCCATGATCCTCCAAGGTGAAGGGAATACATACCCAGAGACTCCCACAAAACTTCTTAGCGAAGGAATCTATCTTAGATCGCACTAGGGCACTAGGGTTCCACATATACTCTAAGGTCTATCCCTTAACTGAGGGGTTTCGGAGTCTCTGGATATATGTGGCTCTGAGACTTCGCAGGTGTAGCTCTAGGTACAGTTTTAGGATTCCGTCTTGACGATGCAGCGGACACGACATGAAACGGCACACGCTGTTTTGCACGCACAGGAATTAATCAGCACTGGTGATTCTGGAGGGGGCATGGCTGCCTTCGTCGGGGTGCTTCTGTTCCGCGTCCTTTGCAATCCATCGTTAGTCAAAAGGAAACTTCAATGTAAGCTCTCCTGACCCTAAACCCTAAACCCTCTCCTGGGCCTGTAAGTCCTGTCAGGGCTTAGGATTTAAGGCAACCCTAAACCCACCTGTGGACCATTCCGGAGAGCCCGAGGAGGTTTACAGCGCTGAAGGTCATCCTGGGTTGCTTGGAGGACGGGACGACGCACGGTTGATGATGCAAACTCTGCACTACCCAATACCCAAAACAAGGAATAAATATACCATAACTCCCATAGTTTAGGGTGCTTATAGTAATGCCGGATTTACATCATAAGCCGTAGTAAACACTCTCGCAACTTTGCATGTTCTCCTATCATCTAAAACATATCCAGCTCAACGTGCCTTGTACCATAGTGTCTCACAGTATACTGTAGTCTACTATAGTGGATTATGGTATACCATAATGTACTATGGCAAAATCAAGAACGTGTTGAAACCGTTGAACTCTAGATACCCTGTTGTACAACAACGCCGACAGCAACGGCTTCGACCAACGCCAGCA